ACTGATGGATACCTGCTACAACGTGGGTAAACCTCAAAGACATTACCCTAAGTAAAAGTCGTCAGACATAAAAGGCCGCATACTGTACGATTCCATTTATATGAAATGTCCTGAATAGGCAAATCCGTAGAGACAGAATTAGATTAGGGGTTGCCAGGGGCTGGGGGTGCAGGGAGAGTACTAGAGAGTGACTTCTAATGAGTATGGGATTTTCATTTTGAGAATGTTCTAGAATTAGATAGAATTAGACAATGGTGATGTTTGCACAGCCCAGCAATATACTAAAAACCACCAATCTGCACTTTTTAAAAAGGCAATATGTCAATTATTTTTTTTACAAAGCCTACAAAGACATGGATGACAAAATAAACAGAGAGGTATACGTATAGCTTATTCATAAGTGAGGAATTCCTGTTCTTTGTATTTTAAAATAATCTATTCCAGAAAATTACAAATTCAACACAAAACACCGTAAAATATTCTGGTAGGACACAAAATCTTTGCAATCCAGAATAACCCTTTGTATTACAGGCAATGGTGTTAATCAACAACCAAGGAGGCGAGCCCATCAAACCCAAGCAGATTTTGCTAAACTTTAGCACTTCTCACAGTTTCTTTTCAGACTCGAGTATTATGAAGCAGCACAAATAAAACTCACTTTCCAAGTTTTGTCCCTATAGTGCCTTTTCATACTCTGGAGCAAACTGACACTTAACTAGGACAGGGATTCTGCAAGGTCAAAACCATTTGCATAATAACGCTCAAACGTTATTTATGTTAACATGCAATGTGTTCATCATTGCTATTTTTAAACAAATGTTCGATTTTTTAAGTGTCCCCTCTCAACTTCTAATGCAACAAATATCGATAGTTCTAACCCACATAAACAAAAGCTCTTTGGGGAGTCTCAACAAGTTTTAAGACTGCAGAGAAGAAGGTCAGGCCTTAAAATATAGTGTTGAATGGGAAAGGGAAGAGAATAAGAAATGGCAGGATGATGCCATCCACGTGAATTAAAAGTGCCTACGCACAAAAAAGCAACGGTAACTTCGTTAGAGCATCCAAAAAGGCGCCCATTGACATACCAGAATGGCTGCCTGCAGTGGCAAGGGGAGGCCCAGGAGTGAGAAATCTGACTCAAAAGACAATAAAACAACAAGAGAAGGACTCACATAGACCATCGATAACGACCCGCCATGTACTGTGGAGTGTGCTTAATCCTCCCTGGGCACCAGAGGCTCCCACTCCTACCTCCTCCCGAGAAAAATACCCCTGGGCTTCTTCACCCCGCTGCAGTTGCCCAGGACAGAGCTGCCACCATGTAGAGACCCACCTGCTCCTGGGGCCCCAGCATCACTGCCTCCCTGCAGACGCCTTGTCCTGGAGGGTCTTCTCCAGCAAACCCACACAAGCGTTAGGGGGACAGTCTGCCGTGCGTACCGCACTGGTCATTCACAGCCCACCTACCCTGACAAAGAGGACCGGCCCGGTGGCAGGGACAGAGCGGGGATGCTGGCGGGGCAGGCAGCACCGCCAGTGAGTAGTGCCGAAACAGGCAGGGAAGGACGGAGTGGCCGGCGGGACCGACGCGCCCTCACCCCGTTACAGGCATGCCGTCCAGGCCTATGAGCTGCAAAGCCAGGGTCCCCTTGATGAGTGGGTGGGAGCAAAAAAAAGGAACCCACAGAGCGGTTGTGGGGCTCAGTGCCATGTCCCCAGTGGCTCGTGCTCCATTGCCTTAAACCAGCAGCAGAAATGCAAGTCGTTGGTGCCCAGCGACCCTCTGGTTCCTGCTTCACCGGCGCCCCTGACCGGACACTTGCTGCGTGTCAAAGAGACACACTCCATGGTCACTCAGCTCAGCAATGAAGCTGCTTGTCGCTTGACAACTTTTTACTTGTCGTGCAACACTAACGCGACTGTATCACGCTCCCCTCACGCAGAGGGGTCCCTGAAGAACAAGAGCAGTCCGACGCCCGTCCTCGGGGAGCCCTGCCTGGCCAGACAGCGGTTCATCACAGCAAAGCTCTTGCCTTCCGGAATCCCGCGCGGAATGCCCGGTCCCCCGTCCTGCCCGTCCCGTTTGGTAAGCTTCCCTCTGCCTCCCCTTTTCCGTCTTCCCGAGAACCTGGGTCCCTCTGCCACACCCTCCTCCCACGGGACGGCTCCCACAGCCCTCGGGGCCTCAGCACCCACGTGTGGACACACTTCTGCTGTGTAACCGCCGCTCCGGGACCAGGTAAATGACGCGTGGGGCCCAGCGCTAAAAGGGGCCGCGGGGCCGCCTTCTTCAGAAGTCACTAAGAATTTCGAGACGGCCGCAGCAGAGCATCCACCCAAGCACAGGGCTGTGTGTGGCCACACGGGTCGCAGGCGCTGAAGTCCCCTGCCCCTCCCGAGTGTGGCGAGAGGCAGGCGCTCATCCACGGCCAGCCCCGGGCAGAACGGGACCGGTGGCGTCTGCGCCACCCGGCCCGGGACCCACCGGCCTGTCGTGAGCAGGAGCCAGACTCTCATCACTAACTGCTCCCAAAGGGACCCGCAATCTCACCAACTCCCCTGGAAAGGGCCTTGCCAGAGCTATCAGGGCAGAAATCGCACACTTAAAGGTTAAGGAGGAGCAAGGTTTCCGGATATTAATTTAAAAACCAAATTCAGGTTGGGAGGAGTCCTTCCTGAGCACACAAAACTACACTCGAAAGCACAAAAGCGCCCGGCTTCCCCGCGGCACAGGGACAGGGTGGGGGGGGAGCCCCCAGCAGGTCCCCCCCAAGGCAGGACGGTGGGACACGACGGTGGGACACGGCGGAGCGCCAGCCGGGGCACATGGAAGGGAGACGCCAAAGGGGTGGCAGCTGCTCCCAGAGACGCAGCGCAGAGGGGGATCCCCCTGTCCCCCCACCTCACGAGGGGGCCCCTGTGAGTCCTGAAGGAAGGGGCTGCGGTGGCCTCTCCCCTTCAGGAGTGACTTTTCTCAGCCTCTGGCTCCGTGACAACCGCCGGAGTCAGGGGACGCCCGCCCCTCAGAAGACGCGACATTTCATCAAAGACTCAGCAGTCCAACCCTCAGCCGGGTTCCTTGTTAAGAAGCTGAAAAGCCACAGACAAAAGTGTAAAGAAATGGCGCGACCAGGCGGGAAGGCCACCGGTTCTGGAGCGTCAGCGCCCCCAGCGCGACCCTCAGCCAGTGAGAGACGGGGGTTGGGGGTGAGAGCCCCCCGCCGGCCCGCCTGCCACCTGCCCGGCCACCTCCAGCGTCCAACACGCCACGAGTCGGAAAGCAGTCGACTCCCAGGGTGAGAAAACCCAAAGTCTGTCGAGCCGGAGCGTGAGGATCCCAGGACGAAATGTCATCCGGCCAGGGTTCGAAAGAGACCATCCTCTTCCCTTTCAAACGCGGGCAGGAGGTGTCGCCGAGCCAGCGCGGGGACAGCAAGGACAAGGCACGGCCCGCGCTCGGCCCAGCACGCGGGAGGGACCCGGCGCGCCTCCAGGAGGCCAGGAGCAGTGGCGGCCCTGCCACACGAGCAAAGTCAGCAAGAAAGAGAGTGGTTTGAAAGAGACGAGGCGTCAACTGGGCAAGCGAGGAAAGCGGGTCGGCACAGCCGGGGAGGAGGCCCAGCGTCCCCCCTGCGCGTCCCCCTGCGTGTCCCCCGCGTGTCCCCTGCGTTTGGTCACGACTCCTCAGAACCACGCAGGCTTCCATGAAGGCGTTCGGCGACAAGTGCTGCCGGGGGCCCGGACAGCTGGTCAGGAAGCAGAAAGAGCAGGAGCTGCTTGAGAAGCAGAAATGGCGAGCAGGAAACCCAAGGCCTGGGTAAGAAATTAGAAAAACAAGGCAGCCCCGGTAACGTCCGGAACTACGTTCTCAGCAAGGACGCGCGTGAACCCTCCTTCGGGGCGCAGGATGTTAAAAGACCCCCTGCCCCGGAGGAGGCGGGTGCCCCAACCTCGTGACATGTTTCAGGACAAGCACACCAAGAAAGAGAGAGACTCCTCCGCGCACCCTGTCCCTCCAAACATCTCTGAGAAGTAGCCGTCATCAGAGACTTCCTGCAAGACACCCTCAATCGCCAGAGTGCTGGCCCGACCCCCAACCAGGCCAGGTCTGCCTCCCTCCACCCCTGACCAGCCGCCCTGTGGGGTCCTCCTCTTCCGGTCGAGGCTGGGCGCCTCAACCCCAGTTCCTAGGGGTCGTCCGAGCCCCCCTCCTGGCACAGCCGAGGGCCCACCAAGAAACCTTTCTCCTCTGTCTGTCACAGGCCGCCTGCTATTTCCATGATTTCCACGATCACAACAAGACAAAGATGCCCACCGCGCCGGGGAGGCCACCGCCCCAGCCGGGGGACCCCCTCGCCCCCCGCTTCTTCCGCTTATCGCTCTGCTTAAACCGTCTTAAGAAAACACGCTCTGTGCTTTCCTCAAGTGAGAACTCGCTTTCGCCCAAGAGGGCATATGCAGACAACAATCTGAGGCTTGGGATTGCTTTTAAAAAACTGTTTTGACCACTCTAAAGACCCCCCCCAAACTGTTTCCTCCACCCCAACACTGAGGCAAACGCACCGTCCTCCTCCTCATCCCCCTCCCCCCACGCCCCGTCCCAGGGCTCACCTGGGGTCTGTCCCCACCTCGCGTGTGTGCCCGGCTGCCCTTCACCTCCGCGGGCCAGCGCGGACGGGCCGCCGTGCCAAAGGGGCAGGGAGGCCCCAACCCGGTTCACAGATGACGGCCTATCATCGACCAGCCCGACCCAACGGCTTCCCGGCCCCTCCGCACCCCTCCCTGGCTCTTCTGAGTGAGAAGCACGTGGCGGGGCCCGCGGCCGACGCCGCCCCGTGGGTGGCGGTGTCCGCTCTCCCTGCGCACAGCGGACGAGAGGACGCCACATCGCCAGGGCAGCTCGCGCCACACCCCCTGTGCGCCACACCCCCTGTGCGCCACACCCCCTGTGCGCCACACCCCCTGTGCGCCACACCCCCTGTGCGCCACACCCCCTGTGCGCCACACCCCCTGTGCGCCACACCCCCTGTGCGCCACACCCCCTGTGCGGCGCGCCCGGCTCTAAGACGCGTTCCTGGAGGTGCCATTTGCAATTAGCCCCTAATCCGGTGCCCCGGCTCTGTGGCTACCTCGCGGGCTCACATGGAAAACTGGAATCTCCAATACAGTGATGACCTACAACATTGATTTGGTTTAGATCATGCTGCTCTCAACATCCTAGGATCGTCGTTTAGAGACTCCTGTGTAAACAGTCACTTCCACTCTGCAGAGAGCCTCAAAAACGGCCAGCCCGCGTTGCCTTGGTGCACACGCCTCACCCAGCTCAGGCCACCTCGGCACAGGTTACCTCGGTTGGGGGACAACCGTGGTATGGCAAGGTGTGGTTGGGATCCCAAAGCACCAAGTTCAGCAGCTGCACAGTGGGTGGCCCAGGTCCACGGGATCACAGAGGGGCTCGCATGACCATGCTCAGTACTATGGAGGCCGACCCTTACACCTGGGATCACCGACTCCATGCAAAATCTAGTACCTGCTTCCCTGCACGGAAGCCTGGAGGCGTTCCCTGCTGCACCAACCGCGTTTCCAAAGCTCGCCTCTGTTGTCCTGTGTCGCGCATCAGAGACACTCTCAGTAATGAGGAGCCGCCATGCTAGCAAACCCCTAACGGGAGGACTGCCCCAAAGCGAGCTCCTCGAGACACTCAGAAAAAAAGCTTCCAACGTCCGGGAGAATAACCTTCACGCCAGAGCAGTGACACATTCTTGAGTGGTTTGGAATTACCAGGGAGATTTTAGAGCAGACATACAAGAAATCAAACAAGAGAAAGAGAACTCGATTCGTCTATGGAGGATGATTAAACATAACCACCCAAAACAAAAAGTCTCAAATAGCCTCCTCCCCACAGCCAGGGGACCCCAGGAGCAGGTGCCCACCCCTGTCCCCTGATCTTTGAGACTACCTCCTAAATAGTGGGGACCTCAAGTGCTTCCACCTCTGTTTCCTTCTGGGCCTTCTCCTTAAGACCCTTCTCTGGTCTTCCCCCAGGATGCGGAACTACCAATTCTGAGACTTGTGGTTGAACAAAAACATATTCCCCACAAAAGAAGTTCACCTCAAGATTTTGCTCCCCAGAGAATCCGTGGTTAATTTCAGGTGTAGCTCCTACTATTTTAGCTAATTGTAGAAGACAGAAAGAACCAGGTTCCAGTTGATTCGGCTGCCCTGCCAGGTTTAAGAACCAGAACTTTCTATCCAATGGGGCTGGCCTTGGACAGACCTGTAGTCCATCGACTTTGCAAAACCCCTTTCCCCGGACTGCACGGGGTCCTCCAGACTCTGCACAGAAGTAGTAGAGATCACCAAGGTTCAGAAAAGGAATCTCGCTAAACTTCAACACGGGGAGTAAGAACCACTCGCCGAGGGCTGAGTCCCCAGGGAACGTCGCAAAGCAACAGTTCTCAACGGGGAGCAAGCTCGTCCCCACTCTCTCCCCCAGGGACACTGAGCGATGTCTGGAGACATTTTTCGTTTCAAAACTGGGCTGGGGACGGGGTGGAGGCTGTGACTGGCATTTGACAGACAGAGCCCAAGAAACTGCTAATCACCCTGCAATGCACGGGACGGGGCCCCACAACCAGAAATGATCTGGCCCTTAAACATCAATAGTGCCAAGGCTGAGAAACTCTGGCCTACAACAAAGGCACTTGAGGTCCCCCCGGCATCCAATCTGGAAACACGACGCCTCTGAGCATCTTAGTTAAGAGGGGCAAAACATTTCTACACGCACACACAGGTGCAAAGCTTTGCAGCTTGGGGAGGGTTCATCAATCCCTGCTGCCCATTCATGAACACCCCTCAATCCCAGACACCCAACGATACTGAGGTCAAATACTCTTTTTAGGGTGAATTCCAATTTTTTTTTTATCTTTATAAGTAAAATAACTCTGCTCGAAGAACCTTCTGCCTATATGACCTCATAGAAACCCTGCACCGCCCGATCAGATCGGGACTATTCACACAACCACCACGGGACAGAGGAGAAGACAGAGATAACTTTTCCAAAGTGACGCAGGCGGCACGTGGCAGAGCCGCAGGGACGACCCCCAGCACTCCAGGTTCGGAGCCCCCCTCGGGATCACGCAGTGAGCGGGATCCCAGCCAGACTGCGCACCCGGCTCAGCCTCTGCACGGAGACGTCACCAAAGGTACCTGGCCGGCCCTCACCAGTGACAGTCACTCCCCTGGAAGAAGCGCGGACGTGGACGACGCCAGGTGTGGAGCAGAGGCAGCTCCCTCCTCGGGCACAGGCCCCTGCGGGACGCCGACCGGAACCAGGGTCTCTCCCAGGTGCGGCTCAGGCAGGCTGGCCACCTGGGGCCCTCGGTCTGCGGCGGGGAGTGTGAGCAGGGCACGTGGAGCAGCAGTCAGCACCAAGAGCTGTCACCTGTGCACGCACCATCAACAAGCCTGCCCGCTCGGGTCCTGCAGGCCCCCTTCTGTGCTCCTCGGGGAGGCCAGCAGTCTGCCCACGCCTGGAAATGAATGGAAACGAGAGTAAAGGCGAATGCCCGAGGCGGCCTTATTTTTCCTGCATTGAAACCTCTTCCCGGTCCCCTCTGTCTCTCTCTGCTTTCGTTGCATAGCAAGAGGCTGGCCGCGGGCCAGGCGGGCGAGCCGTCGTGCAGGACTCAGCCTTGCCGTCTCCTCCGGCTGGACGCCGTGGCCTGGCACGGACCCCGGGCGCTGGAATCTGAGCCCCAGGGGCTCATCCTGTGTCTCCACAGCCTGATGGTGGCTCTTTTGGTGGATCACCGTTGAAACCCCCCATATCACAATGACACCTGTGCAAGCTGCTGGAGGCCTGTGACAGCCAGGAACCTGCCTCACCCAAACCGTGTCCAGAGACAACTGTGTGTTACAGTTTGCAAATACACACATTCCAATCTAAAATTGTTTCAGCAAACAACAGCCAACCAGAGTTAGCAGATGTCACCCATTGGTCACAGGTGCACCAAGGCCAATTTTTGTAATGAGTGAAGCATTAGCGTAAAGCTGGGCTTCCCACCACCCTGCTACTCCTTTTGGGCCCCTCCCTCCCTGACATGCCTCCCTTCTCCGGGTATTCCTTACCGACACAGGGCAGTCGTGTCACCAGAACCAACACGTCGCACTGTCGGGCGCGTCTCGACAACTAACAGGAAAGGCATCGTGCTGTCCACAGCTGGGCCGCGTTCAGGCTCTTCCCTGGGGAGGGCCCCAGCGCCTCTCCTTGGCCGGAGGTCTCATCCCCGTGGCTGGGCAAGGGTGGCTTTGGAAAGGAGATGGAAAAGGGCCAGCTCAGGACCGGGCCCTGCGGCCGAAGCTGATTCCCCTGACTCTCATCCCCTAAGGGCAACCCTAGAACAGGCTGGGAGGGATGAACCCCGACATTTGATGAGGCAGAAACAGCCACACGAAGGGGAAGTGAATGTGTCAAGATCACACAGCCAGTCTCGGCCGCTTTGCATCTCTGCACTGGCAGCCTCCTCAGAACCTTCTTACTCCTCATCCCACGGAAAGCAGGCTGTGTGGACAGGCATCTCCTCTGCCCTGAATCTGGCACAGGGGAGCTGCCACCACCTGGAGCTCTGAGCTGTTGGTCCAGAGGGACCCACGTGGGCTCCTTAAGTGGAGCCCGAGTGCCCTCTGCTGGCTGACTGCTGAACAACACAAACCTCAGGTCCAGGTGGAGCCCGAGTGCCCTCTGCTGGCTGACTGCTGAACAACACAAACCTCAGGTCTAGGTGGAGCACGAGTGCCCTCTGTTGGCTGACTGCTGAACAACACAAACCTCAGGTCTCACCAGAGATTTCTTGTGGTTCCCGCCCAGGAGAACCGAGGGCGGGATTCAGAGGACCCCACCCCCTTCCCGGGGAAGTTCCTCCTTCTGTTCTGTATAACCTCAGGGGAAGTTCTGCTGATGGAAAAATCATGCCCACCATGAACAGGACATTTCTTCCTTCCTATGGCATCCCTGAACGTACCCACTCAGCACCAGCTATTGGTGGCTTTCCATGCCCCAGCCAGCGGGACCGGCACTTTGGGCCCCAGAAATGAGCAGACGCTTCCAGCCTCCTTGCAGTTTCTCCAGTGAGGCAGATGATCGAGGGAACATGAGGCAAAGATTTGACAGAGTAGAGTACGGTGGGCTGGGGGAGCAGGAAGGAGCACCAAGTGACAGGGACGGCCATCGGAGGGGAGATGGTGGCAAAGATGGTATCTGGGCCGAGCTTTGCAGAGGAAACAGAGGTAGGCCTGGAAGAGAAGGGAAAGGCATTTCTGACAGAGGGAACAGACACAGCAGGTGCCCACACTTTCCCCTGTCCCAGCTGCTTCCTCTCCCCCCTCCTTTCCTCCCTCCCTCCCTCCTGACTCAGCACAGGTCACAGCAGCTCTGCACCTCGAGAATCTGCCCAGCTCTCCCAACACCACATGTCTGGTGGGGTACGCTACAACACTCCCAGCCTCATACCTGGACCCTGCCAATGAACACGTGGTTTCCTGAATCCTGCACAAGCCTGGCCACGGTCTGGACACTTGAGAATTCAACACTCAGAAAGTGTGTGTGTATATACTTGCCACAGGGGATTCTGGAAAGCCTGAACCACCCTCTCGTCTAAGAAAGAGAACCCAGCCCAGGGGAAAAAGACAGGTGCAAAGGAGTCACACCTGCAGGAGTTTCTCTGTGGGTTCAAAGTTCATCCTGAGCCTGCTGGCAGAGGCAGGGAAAGGGAATAGGGAGGGGGCCTAAGAGCCACAGTGTCACGTGGAAGGCTCAGGACTGTCTGTGTTACAGTGTTTGTGTGGCAGCTTTGACCAGGATGGCAGGGTTGGTCCTGAGCGACGTTTCCCAGTGGGCAGTTGGGAGCCACTCAAGGCTGGGAGTGGGAAAGAGACGTTATAAAGTGTGCTTGGCCAGGCGTGGTAGCTCACACCTGTGATCCTAGCACTCTGGGAGGCCGAGATGGGAGGATCACTTGAGGCCAGGAGTATGAGACCTGCCTGAGCAAGAATAAGACCCCGTCTCTATTAAAAGTAGAAAATTTAGCTGGGCCTAGTGGCGCATGCCTGTAGTCCCAGCTACTCAGGAGGCTGAGGCAGGAAGATCGCTTGAGCCCTGGAGTTTGAGGCTGCGGTGAGCTACGGTGTTGCCACGGCACTCTAGGTAGGGCAACAATGAAACTGTTCCTTTTTTAAAAAATGTGCTTATAGAGACTCCAGAGCGAAGGATGTCTCTCTGTCCCCTGCAGTGATCAATCAGCAGGGAAGGGCAGGGCGGCCCTGGCACTCCAGCTCCTGCAGGGGCCCCTGGGTCCTGCCCGAGGACCCACCCTGGGGACCAGCTGCCTCCCTGGCCTCAGGACCTGCCTCCAGCCCTGGCAGAATTCTTCCTCCCAGGCAAGCAAGAGGGCAGTGCCCAGCCAACTTCAGGCCCCAGGCAGCCTCAGCTGGGGTGGGTCCCCAGGGGATGGAGCACAAGCTGGGTCCCCAGAGCCTGGGTCTTCACCCTGAACCTGCCACTTGACTGCTAAGGACCTTTCAGAAAACCCCTTTCTTCTCAGTCTCCAGGGCCTTCTGACAGGCAGCCCAGCCCGGCAAAGCCAGCAAGAACCTTTCGCTGTCCTCGGCGGGCACTCCAGGCTTTGGCGTGAGACTGTCACGGGAAACCGAAACACACACGTCAGCCCTGGACTATGGCGCCTCTGAGCGCCACCTGCTCTGGCCGGCGTGGATGCTGGGACCCGGGCCCGGCCCTTGGCCCCCGTCCCCACCGCCCCTCCAGCCCCGGATGTCCTGGATCTCCCCTCTACCCAGCCACCTGGAGTTTTCCCTACGCATGCGGTCTACCCCCAGGACTCTGGGACTGAGGCCTCTGTTTAAGGGTTATCTTCTGCACCAGGGCAGAGAAGGAGCCCACCCATGGTGGGGAAGGGGGGACGTCCTGGGGTCGCAGGGAAGCCCGTTTAACGTGGGCAGCGACACTGTTTTCTTGCTCCTTCCGCTGTTCCCATCTCTGCTGGAGAAAGCCCTGGAGTTGCAGACCTGACTGTGAGTGAGCAGTACGGCCACGAGAGGGCAGCAGAGGCAAAGGCTTTGCCCACGTTCACGACCACGAGGGGGCAGCAGAGGCAAAGGTTTTTACCCACGTTCACGGCCACGAGGGGGCAGCAGAGGCAAAGGTTTTTACCCACGTTCACGGCCACGAGGGGGCAGCAGAGACAAAGGTTTTTTTACCCGCATTCATGGCCACGAGGGGGCAGCAGAGGCAAAGGCTTTGCCCAAGTTCTCCGGAGCTTTACACACTACTGATACCAGGTTCCCACCCCCCGCAAAATTCGGATTTAATGGCCCAGGGTGCGACCCTAACGTCAGGCAAATGGAGAAGGAAGTGGAAGAGCGGGAGCAGCAGCCTCTCAGACCCTTTTGCCACTGGGCTGAGCCGAGAACCGCAGGGCCAGGCCTCCGCCCACTCCAGGCGAGGCTCGCGGACCGCCAGCGTCAGTCACCCAGGAGCTCCTAGAAACGCAGGCTCGCAGGGCCCAGCCCAAACCTGCGGAAGCAGAATCTGACATTTAACAGATTCCCCTGGGGGATTCATGTGCACATTACAGTTCGAGAAACTTCTGGTCCTAGTTACCCAAAAGGCTCCTGGGAGACTCGGGTCCGATGCCATATATCCGTGGTTTACAGATGCGGAGATTCAAGCACAGAGGGAAGAGTCCGTTTGCTCAAGGTCATTGGGCAGGATGGTGCAGACCTCCTCTAGACCCTGACTCCAAATCCAGGGCTCTTTCTCCCGCAGCACCCTGCTCCTCCAACGGAGGGGCGGGGAGGGACTGGGCACAAGATGGCCGTATGTGGTGGCTGGAGCTTGGTGGGGTCTTGGAACTTCCCCAGACCTGTCAGTGGGGCCTTGCGGGGATCTCAGGGATGGCTCAGATACTGTCTCTGGCTAGAGGAGCTTCTGTCCTCAGATCTAACTCCAGACGGACACAGGTGGTATCAGCCAAGCATGACTTTCACCTTGAGTCACAGTGAAGAACCGTCTCTAGGAAAACAGAGAAAGAAGAGAAAGACCAGTACAGCTATGTCACCTGGGAAGAATTCCTGCGGTCTGGGCTGTGCGGGAGGAGGGGGTGTTAGACTTTAGGAGCTAGTGGAGGGAGGACCTGTATTTCAGACCAAAGACCAAGATGCATGAAGGATATAATTAGGCAGGAAAGGCCCACAGGATAGGTAAGGGCTAGGCAGCAGTGGCAGATAAAGCCGGGATGGGACAGGGGCTTGGAGCACTGACCAGACCCTGAAAGAAGGCAGAGCGCTTTTGGCCAGGTAAAGCCAATTCAGACCTTGGGCTGGAGGCCACAGGAAACCACAGAAGGTGTTTGAGCTGGAGAGGAGTCTGGGCTTTGGAAAGACCTTCTGGTGTTGATCCTGTTGTGTACTGGAGATGACACAAGGAGGAAGAGGCTACAGGAACCCTCATCCTGGGAGCTCACTGAGGACGTGGCTTGAGGCACTTGAATCTCAAGGTCACCAGCATTTGCCAGAGCCTTGGCCCCTGGCAGGTGCCCTGCAAATGAGCATCTCTAAGGGAGACCAGCCTTTAACCCAAAGGCCCTTTAATTCTTAAGGTCCATATCAGAACGGGAAACATAAGCCATACTCTGGTGACCTTGAGCTTGTTACATCCCAGAGTGGGGATAACAACAAAAGTTCCTTCATAAGGTTACAGTGAGACCTGTCTGTGACAATCTAGGTGACGTACCTGGCATCTAGCTGGTGCTCGGTGTCGTGACGCCTCCATTCTGCGTGCTTTCCCCCAGGGGTCTGCGACTGCGCATGGCCTTATTTTCAGTAGCCCCTGGAGTGGCTCCTCCAATCTCTTCTTGCCCCTGATTACGGCAGCCTCTGTTCAGTGCTTTACACATATTACTTTACATCCATGAGTTCGTTTAATCCTGCAATAATGCTTTTCAGTGAGTTTGATTCGTTGCCAGATTTAAAGGTGAGAAAATTCAAGGACAGAGCCGGCACCCGAGGACCACAGGGATGGGAGTCAGCCCGTTGGCCCAAGCACCTCTGCTAACCGGTCCCCTCCAGGGCCCGCATCGTGAACCTGCCCAGGACTCTGCCTCGGCCACTCCACACTGTCCCCCTCCGTAACTCCTCCTCCGGCAGTGGCAGGGCCACATTTCAAGTCTCGTTCTGAGCTTTTGTGACCTATTAAGGGAGGCTTCTCCTTTGACCAACGGACACACGTGTCCCGAGGCCAGAGGGATGGAGTCACGTGGACACCTGTGTTTCCCCTGAAACCCAGCCAGCCCCAACCTCCAGCCCCCAGCTCTAGGGGGGGCAGCTTGTCCCTAGTCCCCCCGATTAGTGATCAGCACACCATGGTCGTTGTCTCTGGGAGTCTAGGTCGCCGTGGCTCTGCTGCTCTCCCAAGCACGGGAAGTACAGGACTCACCTCTTCCAGCCAGTGTCCGCCCTCAGCTCGCCTCTTTGAGGTCACAGTCCTGTCCTCTGTCCCTCAACAGTCCCTCCCCAACAGCCGCCTCGTCCCAACGGTCCCCTCTGCTCAGATCCGCTTTCCAACTGCCGTCCGCATGCCCCACATTCCGACAGCCCAACGGCTCAGCCCGCCCTCCCCAGGCTCCAGCCCACCCCCCAACTGAACTGCACCCCACTCTGCGCCGACAGATCAGTGCCCGGCCTGTGTCTCTCTCAATGGACCGGAAACTCCTTGGGGACAAGAACGGTGCCTTCTTATTTTTTTGTCCACAACACTGATCACAGTGACTGGCGTGTGTTTGAGGACCACTGTAATAGGATCGTGTGATTTGTCTGTTCCTGTCTTTTCTTCTTTCTTTTGGGTGTTTCATCCCCAGTCCCTCAATTTTTAAGAGTTCTCGACATATTAGGGGTATTTCTTCCCTTTGTCTGTGGTATGCGTTGCAAATATTTTCTACGAATTTTTCAGTTGTCTTTTGACTTGTCCTTTTTTTTTTTTTAAAGAAATTATTATTTTCTTTATGTGGTGTTGGATTCTGTTTGCTAATATTTTACTTGGTATTTTCCATCGATATTCATAAGTGATGTGATTTTTAGTTTTCTTAGTGACTTGTCATCAGGATTAGGTATCAATATTATTCTTGCCTCATACATAAAAAGAGAAAGTTTTCCTTCATTTTCAATAATCTGGGACAATAAGGGGATAGACCCTGAGAATGATCTGACACGTGAAGTTTTTGGTACAACGCTTCTGTGCAAACGTCTGGGCCTCATGCTTTAATTTTTTAATTATTTTTGTAAAATTTTTATGATAAAGCATTTCAAACATACACCAAAGGAGGAATAGTAAAACGAACCTCTGTTTCTCATCACCCAGCCTCAGCAATCATCAACATATTGTCAAGCTTGTTTCGTTTATACTTCCCCATCTCCTCTTTCTCCCTGGTTATTTTTAAAATACCTTCATTTTGACATAACAGGACAATAGATTATTTGTCCATAAAAAGGAATGAAGTATTAATACTGATAAAAGCTATGACAAGGACGAACACAGAAAGCAGTATAAGTGCCAGTTACAGAAGACTACATATTGTATGATTACATTTATATCAAATGTCCAGAAAGGGCAAATCTACGGAGATAGAAAGTAGACTCGTGGTTGCCTAGGGCTTGGGGTGGAGGGCGGGTAATGAGGAGTGACCCTAGAGGAGGTCGACCCCCTAGACCCACCTCACTGGCCAGAGGAGAAATGTGGAGTGTCCGAGCAGGGGCACAGCCAGGGAGAGGCCACGAGAATGAGGTCCCCACTGTCCAGTGTCTGGGGACGCTCCAGTAACCTCCAGCGTTTTTGCCTCTTCCCCTGGAGGGAGGCCGCAGCTCATGGGGACATGGGCTGAGGACGCAGGATACCCGCCCCCCTAAGACTCCTCTCCTGTGGCCATTCCCCCTGAGGCCACAGACAGACAAACTACTCCTCTGTGGAGGAAAGTGCCGGAACAGAAGCTGGCCACAGCTGAGGCAGGGACACCTGTGTCCTCTCTGCCAGTCTAAGAAGCTGCCCCAGTGACATTCCCCTTTGCAGACTGTAGAGCCTGGGCTTCAGCTGAGAGAGGGAGGACAGTTTTCCTTCCTGACCCAGAGACCAACCGACCCCCAGAAAGAACTGACTTCTCAAAACGTATCTGAAGGAAACGGGGGATGTTCAAACTACACTGCCAGATTTCGAACAAAAGATCCAAAGTTCAAGGACATTCTTTGAGGCCATCAGGGTACAAAACAGAAATCAGTCTGAGGAAGTGCCTGGGCTTGAACACATCAAGTTCAATTCTACTGGGCAATCTGCTCGTTCACTTGGAACCCGAGAAGCAAGAGAAAATAGAGACGCTACGAAATATTACAAGATTTTACACGAGACTGAGTGACACTTTCCAAGGTAAGAAGAGCTTGAAAGAACGTAAACGTAAAGGAGGGGCATGCAGATCTGACCTCCGCTGGGCTCAGGAGGAAGATACGAGGCTTTGGAATTGCAACAGGAAAGGGAAGACAAGAGAAAGTGGCAACCCGGCTTTAATGACTTGATCGAATGCTGTGAGCCATCTTCAGAGAGCCCTCCAAGTGCTCTGTGGCAAGACTCAAGGAAACGCACTTGCGAAAGGCGACATCATGCCCGGAGAGGCGCCGGCAGCCCCGGCAGAATGATAAATTGCAGTTTCCGCCAACAAGTCAGGTGGCAGATGACGTTGACCGAGTCTCTGTTAACCCCCATGGGAACACGCACACAAAACTTCCAGGCAAAAACAGAGAGAGGCCATGTCAAGAAGGCGACACCTGGAAGAACAAGAAAAGCGGTTGACAGAAGGTGACCGTTCCGTGCACGAGGCCAACGCTCTCCTGAGCACGACTGATGTGACATCCTTGAAGAACATCAGCAGGACACCACAGCTCTGCAGAGCAACGTGGCCCTGAAAGAGAAAGAAGGAAATGAACGAGGTGGCAGGACGCAGCCTTCCGAGCGACACCGAGGGACAGCGTCGGTGACGAGGGGCTGGCAGAGCGGTGGCCGTACTGAAAGAACATCTCTTCCCTTCATGGGGCCTACGTTCTCCCAGAAAATCGACACAAAACCCCGCAGAGTCCGAATGAAAACCATCAGCCAACACGGCATCTTCAAAACCAGGTCACTTTGCAAGAAAAAGGCAGGAACCAAAGTAGCAAAATCTTCCCCCCAAAAAGAAAATAACCTAAACCCAAGACCTGGATTTTAAAAAATTAGAAAAACAAGGCAGCCCCGGTAAATTCCCCGAGCTGCGTTCCCAGCAAGGACACCCATGAACCCCACTTTGTGACACAGGATGTTAAAAGAGCACCTTGCCACCTCGAGACATTTTAGGACGAACATACCAAGAAAGAGGGGGACTTTTCAGCACACAGTGTCCCTCCCAAACATCTCTGAGAAGTAGCTGTCATCAGAGACTTCCTGCAAGACACCCTCAATCGCCAGAGTGCTGGCCCGACCCCCAGACCACGCGAAGTCTCCCTCCCGCCACCCCTGACCAGCCGCCCTGTGGGGTCCTCCTCTTCCCACCCGAGGAGCCCCGTCCAGACTGGGCGCCTCAACCCCAGTTCCTAGGGCTCGTCCGACCTGGGGGGCAGCGAGTGCCTCCCACCTGGCACAGCCGAGGCCCCACCAAGAAACCTTTCTCTTCTAAGGAGCTGGCTGTCACAGGCCAGCCATCGTTTCCGTGATGTCCTCGATCACAACAAGACAAAGATGCCCACTGCACCGGGGAGGCCACCGCCCCAGCCTCCTGGGCCCCCTCGCCCCCTTCTTCTGCCTGTGGTCCCCGTTCCACCTTCTGGAGATGACCCACTCCGAGCCTTCCCCAAATAAGAACTTCCCTCCGCCCAGGAGGGTACATGAAGACAACAATCTGAGGTTTGGGGTTTAACAAAACTGTTTTGTCCACTCTAAAGACCGCCCGCCAAACGTCCCCCTCCGCTAGAATGTCCTGCTTCTCAGTTTCGCTCCTCCCAGCTCGACGGCAAAGGAAGGAGAGCTCTGCATGCCGACGTCGCTCCTGCAGCGTGGCAAGTGGTCCCTAAAACCCGCCAAGCCTCTGCGAGAAGTGTGGCGAGCACCAGCCCCACAAAGTGACACGGGACAAGAAGGGCCACGGATTCTCCGCATGCCCAGGGAAAGCGGGTGTCGTGACGGGAAGCAGAGCGCCTACGACGGGCAGACTAAGCTGATTTTCCAGGAAAAAAAGGCTAAAACTACAGAGGAGATTGTGCCGAGGCTGCAGCGCCTTGCGCCGGGCGGCAGATCTGGGAGCAGCCGGCTGCGAGGAGACGCGGGCATTTTGGACTGGGAAGAGCGAAGAGGAGAAAGGGCCGGGTGATTCCGTTTTAAGCGTCACGCCTTGCTTTATTACGAAGACCGTAAAATCTTGAGGGGTGTATGTCCACTTCAAAAAGCAAAACAGAAATGACACATTTTACAGTATAAATAAATCCTTTTTGGTGGATGGATAGCAAGCGTGCCTCAGTCACCCCGATGGGAAGCAGAGGGATGTGACACGTGGGACTGGGATGTGGCAGCTCCACGGGGTTCCCCTACTTATTAGCAGGGTCCCTTGAGAACAAGTGGCCCCTCGACACCAGGCAGTGGGGGGAGGGGTGCTCAGGCTGGCCAGGAGGGAGGGGTGCTCTGGCTCGGAGTAGCCACCACAGCCAGTGACCAGGGACAGCTGCTGCTGCCTTCTTGTGCTAGGCATGTTCTGTGCCCGCTATAATGACATCTCTCTTAGTATGGGGCAGTGGGGGGGGTAGATGCAGGGACGATCGCTGTTTTATGGGAACACAGAGGTTACGACAACTTGTCAAAGGTCACATGGCTAAGGTCACTTGTCAAAGGTCACACAGTGGCCCTGGGGATGAACAGAGGCATCTCACTCCAGCGACTACTCACAGTAGCGTCCAGGACGCTGGCACAAACGACAGGACTAGGTCCCCACTCTCCATGTGGCATGGCCACAGCCAAAGGAGAACTGGTGGGATGCCGGGTCCCAGACCAGGCTGGAAGAGACCGGGCCTGCCATTTCATAGAGGAGAGACAAACGCAGAGAGGGAACAGAGGTTCTCATGATCACAGGGCCACAGTGTCACAGCTAAATCCAGGTTCCCCCCCCACCCAGGCAGGGCCTCTGGCATCCACGGCCATGCGTTTGGGTGTTGGAGGCAGCGCGAGGCTGCCCCCTGCAGGAAGGGCCGGAAACTGCAGGCGACCCTGTCTAGAGCCCCCGCACAGGGTGACCGCACAGGGTGGCTGCAGGCGGGAGCCGGAGCCTCCCCTCCCCCATGCTCTGAGCACGCGGAATGTGGGGTGCTCAGACCCGGGCTGGCTCCGACCCTGTCCCCAGATCAGAGGCCCCAGTCCGATGATGGAAAAGACAGGGCCGACACACGGGGAAGAACTGAGGGCCGCGGCAAACCCCAGGGCAGTCACGCCGCGCCCGAGGAGCTCAGAGAAGGGACAACCAGGGTGACCAGTGGGACAAGAGGTAACCTGACACCCGTGCCCAGTGGGGGACGGGAACCCAGAAGAGAAGAGCAAGTGTGTGTGAGGAGGTGAGCGAAGGGGACCAGTCCCGCCAGGTATTAGATTGTATCATCACGCTGGCGAGAAAAACAAAAACGCCACAAGGGCGCCCAGGGTGAATAAGCTGGCAAGTCCAAGGTCTCACCTGTACCGGTTTGGGGTAAGTGGGACGGGGCGGGGACTCGCGGCCGCAGCTTCCCTGGAGGGGACAGGAGGAAACGCGGCCTCAGGCGGTGGGGCGCTCTGCCCGGCCTCCCGTCCCGGCCTCCCCTGTGCCCGCTGCCTCTTCTCCTAACAAGGCGGCGCGCGGCCCTGCCCCGAGGCAACGGCGCGACTCGTGGGCCCCGCCGCGACGTGCCCCTGTGTGCGGCCAGGAGGCACAAGGGCCCGAAAGAGACGCGGGAAACACAAAAACACGTGGGTGACAACTCGATTCCCAAGTCCAAGGGAACCACAACCCGCTCCCTCCGCGTTCCTGCTGAGTTCACCTCCGAGAATCTTCTGGAATCTTCCCTCCCTCCACCGAGCCCGCGCCTCGAGCCTCCGCCCCCGCCTGGCTTCCCTGGGGGTCCCCACCCGGCCGCGCGCGGGGTCCGCCCGCCCCACGTCGCACGGTGACCCCGAGGGCGCCGCCTCCCGGGGACCCGCCGCGGCGGCTTCCTTCCCGCCGCCAGGCAGGCCGCGCGGCTCCGGCCAGAGCGACCCGCTCCCCCACGCCCCCCGCGTCCCCTCGTGTCCGCGCGGGGACACCGCGCGCGTCTGCCGCGGAGGCCGGGAACCCACCGGGTCTCTGCGCCGAGAGAGAGGGCGACGCTGCGGAGGCGGCTCGGCGGGCGGAAGGGGCTGCGGCATTTTCCCTTCAGAGGTAGGGCTGGCGCCACCAGCAAGGGCCCTCTTGGCGCAGTGGGCAGCGCGTCAGTCTCATAATCTGAAGGTCCTGAGTTCGAGCCTCAGAGAGGGCACAGCTGTTTTGCTGGGCTACGATCCAGTCTCAAGCTTATACGCATTCAGCACGAAGAGTGATGTCACCCAGTAAAGCCCTCAAGTCTGAGCCGTGGGAGAGAACAGGTGTCCTCCCTCCGTCCCAGGGGACCGAAGGGTAAAGCCAGGTGTCCAGGAGTGGTGGACCCACCTCCGATCCCCGAGGGGCTGCGTAAATACATGCTTAGGTCCGCACACAAAGGCTCAACCTCACTCATAACAATAGAAGTGCAGTGAAATTACCATCCTCCCTTCTCCCTTCTCTCAGGAATTAAAATCCATAAATGAGAAAACACACAGTGTTGGCGCCACTGCGGGGAAACGGACACTCGGCATTGCTGATTCAGTTCCTTTTGCAACATTCCTGAAAGTCAGTCTCTTAGGCCACTTCGATCTCCTTTTTCCCACCATCATCTGCTTGGAGCAAGGTCGTGTCCACACCTTCTTTTTCGGCTGCCTGGAGACTGTCCAACCCAGCTCCATTCCAGACCCAGCTTTCGGGAGCCTGGAAGACCCAGGCAATGTGTGCCCATGCTCAGGTGACCCAAGAGAGCCGGCTGGGGCGTGGCATTGATGCCTAGGGAATGACCAAGCTCTAATTCTACTTTTAGCAGAATCTTTCCATTTTTTATTACTCAGTTTACAATGGCTTCTAATTATTTTGTGATTTGTTCTCTATTAGTTATTAAGTATATTTAATTTCCAAAATACAGAGATTCTAGTTTTCTTTTTTTATTTCTGTATTAATTGCACTGTGGCTGAGGAATACATTCTATAAAAATTAAATCCTCTGAAATTTGTGGCTCAGTAAATGGTCATTTTATATATGTGTGTATGAGTGGAAAGGTGTATTCTGTAGCGGTTGTGTGCATTGTTCTACATTTTCTAATCATGGTGTTCAAATCTTCTCTATACTTATAAATTTTTTGTCTATTTGAACTATTGGTTACTCTTACAGGGAAATTTGTTCTGATTTTTTTAAATGTATTTTGAGGTTACAATAACAAATGCATAAAAACAATTCTTGTGCCTTCCTGGTGAATTGAACTCTTATAAAGTGTTCACTTTTATCTCAAATATTTTTATAGTATATTTTATCTATTTTTTTTTAATTTTAAAGAGATTTATTCTGAGCCAAATTTGAGGACCATGACCTGGAGCCACTGCCAAGAGGCCTTGGGCAAGTGGACTCGCTGTGGCTGGTTTGGTTTTTATACATTTTAGAGACAAGGGTTATGGGTAAAGCCATCAATCAATGTGTGGGAGGCATACATTGGTTTGGCCCAAAATATTTTATCTAATATTAATATTACATTAGCTTTTAGTGTGTACATGAAGTATGTTTTTATATTCTTTGTCATGTTTTTTGTTCCCTTATGTGTTTTTTTGTTTGTTTGTTTTTTGGTTTTTTTGGGTTTTTTTTGAGACAGAGTCTCACTCTGTTGCCCAGGCTAGAGTGTCGTGGTGTCAGCCTAGCACACAGCAACCTCAAACTCCTGGGCTCAAGCGATCCTCCTGCCTCAGCCTCCCGAGTAGCTGGGACTACAGGCATGTGCCACCAGGCGTGGCTAATTTTTTCCATATATTTTTACTTGGCCAATTAATTTCATTCTGTTTTTAGTAGAGACAGGGTCTCGCTCTTGCTCAGGCTGGTTTTGAACTCCTGACTTCAAGCGATTCCCCAGCCTCGGCCTCCCAGAGTGCTGGGATAACAGGCATGAGCCACCACACCCTGCCCTGCCCTGCCCATATGTCTTAATGCCTTTTGTAAACACAGTTGGGATTTTTTAAATCCATATACAGACCACATTTTATTTATCCATTCATTCATGCATGGATGGACACTTGTTATAAATTTTAGAGACCAATTGTTACTAGCAGGAAAGATCTACTGCTGGCCTCTACCCCCTAGGTCCTATTTTTAAATGGATGCTAGTTCTAGTACTTGTATTAGAAGCACACTGGCTCCAGTAGAGGCTGGCAAACTCAACAGGTCAAATCTATGCCTGTTTTTTATAAATAAAGTTTTACTTATAAAACTCATTCATTTATTATCTATGGTTGCTCTCATGCTGCAAGAGCAGAATTGAGTAGCTGCCCCAAAAGTCATGTGGCAAAGCCAAAAGTATTTCCTATCTGACTCTTTAAGAAAAAGCTTACTGTTCCCAGAGCTGTAGTAACAAACAGACCCCAAAATTACTAACAGCTCAAACACGAATTTATTTTTCTTCCATGTAGCAGTCCACAGTGGGCAGCTTTCCCACTGTTTAATCCACACACACAGGATGCTTCTAGCTCAGGGTTCTGCAATGCCCTGGGGATACCATAGCATTTGCCTGGGGCTGGTAGAAAGGGAAAGAGACCCTGGAGGGGACACCCCTACTTATTTAGGCTTGACCCACAGGTGGCATGTATTATTCCTGTATGATCCATTAGTAAGAACGAGGTGCCTAACAATGTCTAGATGTTGAAAAGGAGGGCACATTTGGTCCCTGACTTTGCAGCTTCCTCTCGGGGACAACCCTAAGCCACTAACTTTAGTGGGCAGCCAGCTGTCTTGGCCATGGCAACACCAAGCAGAGAAGACACTACAGATAGAAGAGGACTTCAGCCTGACACCACCCAGACAAAATATTACATTGTCACATCCTCAACGTGAGAACATGGTCCTGAAACAGTGAGCAAGGCAGCTTGGACCAGCACCGAATGATAGAATCAGGACTTCTAAAGAGTCAGATAAAGCGAGATATTATGAAGCAGGGAGATCGTCTACCCCTGAAATGGGGCACAAAAAGGGGGAGCATCCTCAGCGTGCTCGGCCCAGCTCCCGGAGTTTCACCTGGGTCAAGAATTGAGCATCATGGGTGTATCAACTCCCTGATACGATCTGAAAGTTTGTACATCTACTTACATTTTTTCCTGAGCTTTCTAAAGATTCCAATGATTCCCTGATCAAAAGACAGAAAAAGGTTACAGACCAAACTAAGTCTGCTCTAAAATTCCTTCCCGCCCCTGAAATTTGCTGAATGGAGGTATAAGTAACCCATCTCAATGAGTCTTATTTGACAGAAATGCACACACAGCCACGCCGTTTGGTTTTTGCTTTGTCACTTTATTCATTACTTCATGATAACCTCATTTATCTGACTTGTGAGAGGTCCTGAGCCTAATTCTGGCACTTGGTACCAGTCGAAGGCCAGATCTCATTGAGTTTCCCTATCCAAGCCCAGAAATCAGTGGTAAAAAAAATAAAAGGAGAAGCCCCAAGCCAAGTAATAAAACTCTGGGAGGGCAGGATGGGGCAGGGGCAGATGACCTGCCACCAAGGCTGAGGAGGAAGAGTCATCTGGCACCCTGAGGTCATCGTCTCAGCCACGCTAGCCCCAAGGTGGAGTCTTCACTGGCATGACCGTGGCTCCCAAGCTTCAGTACAAGAGCTGGTAAGTAGTGGCACTGTTCTTGGAGCCCGTGATCAGATACTGGTTGTCGGGGGACATGTCACAACACAGGATTTCAAAAGGCTCCACTACCTAGAAGAGAGGAGGGACCAAAAGAGGGTCACACACAGAGACAAGGCTTGGGCCAGACACGAAGGCTCCACCCGGGGCTGTTGCAAGGCTTAGCGTAGACCTAAGGTCAGTCTGAAGACAGGGAGTCCACAGGAACTCAAGTCCTCAATGCCCCACACTAGGAACTGGCCCTGGACACCTCTCAGAGGGACTTTCCAGCACACCCGGGGATCTGACCCAAGGGATCTGGGTCATACGCCCCGAGTGCCTGGGCTTGCGAACCCTTCCTCCTAGTACCTCAAACGACTTCTGTAGAGAAGCCGCCTGGAAGAAGTTGATGGACGTATCTGTTGTGGCCACAAAAAAGCTCCCTGGAGAAGGAAAGAATGGATGCAGAGGACAGAGACTGAGCCTGAAATCCAGTTCCAGCTCTGTCCTCGACTAGCTTAGGGAAAGGGCAATTCTTTCTCTGCCTCAGTTTCCCTGCCTATGACAATCAGAGACGCAACCCAAGCTGTTGGCCTTATCTGCTCCCACCCTCTTGCCATGCACAGGATCGTGGTGAGTGTCACTGAACGGAAGGACGATCAGATGGGGCTCCGTGCCCTTTCTGTCTGCCTGTGTCTTCGGGCTGCCATGCTGTCTAGGACGCTGCCGTCCTATGACAGAGGGGGCCAGAAGAGAAAAGGGATGGGGGTGACCCAGAGGTGTCACCTGGCTTTTCACTCACCAGAGGAAGCGAACTTGATGTTGTGGTGGTGGTAGTATTTTTGTGCGACAGTCTTAAACCAATCGTCCCGATGAGTGTGTAAGATGAAAATACTGCCCGTCCTCAAGCCCGCTAGGACCCACTCCTCGCTGGGGTCATGGGTGATGCTTAGGATCTGCATGGAGGAAGGTTTGGGGTCAGCACTCAAAGTTGCCTACGCCACAGCTCCTTTGTGCCCACCCTCTTGGAAATCGGACCCCAGCCCTGCCGCTCCGCCGGGGCCCAGCCAGGCACCTCGTAATGTAAGCAACACTGCCGCAGCATCCGGTAGGTCCTCAGGTCCCAGGAATACAGGATGGTGTCTTCGCCTCCCGTCCAGAACTTGTTGCCTGCGACCTCAATCCGTCGAGACCCGGACTTGGGGATGTCATGCTTCCTGGCGGGAAAACGACTCAGAGGTTCACCAATGGGTTTGGGGGCCCTGGAAGCTTCAAGGGGCCAGAGGTACCCCCGCCCCCTCGCTGCCTCGCCTCGCCCTGCTGCAGAGGGGGGAAGGTGAGGCCTCGTTGTCGAGTCCACCCCCGGCTGCACCCGAGCGGCTCTGGAGAGAGGCCATACCTGACCAAGATTTGGTTGTGCACATCCCAAATCTCCACACATCCTTTGAAACAAGCGAAGCAGAGGCGGGCATCATGGGAGAGAGCCAGGGAAGGGCACATGGAGTTTGCAGTGGGCAGGTGTACTCGAACTCGGGGCGTGGGTGCCAGGTCCCAGACAGTCAGGGTCTGCCTCTGCGACAGACCCCCCGTGATCAGGCTCTGCTCATCAGGAAACAGCTTGCAGGTGAAGACAGAGTCATTCGGGTCCTGTAGGAACAGTTCACACTCTTAGGTCCCCCCACAGCCCTGTCTGGGGTCCCCAAGCCCTGCTTGAATACCCCGCACCTGAAGATCCAGCTGGGCCTGAGGGGCGCTGTCCGTGGCATGCAGAGCACTCTTGTCCCACACCTTGATGCAGCCGGTGCCACACGTGTACACGTGGTGTGTTGAGCGACTGATAGCAACAGCAAAGACTCTCTTTCCATGGCCGAGTGTGCCAACCTTCCAGGTAGTCCACGGGGCCCTCCGTGTAACCACGACATTATCTGGAACAAGGGGCTGGGGAGGGGGGCAGGTGGCAATGAGAGGCCATGGCCCTGCCTTCTGTGGGGCCAGCCTGCCCCTGTGCTCCAGCCAACTCCTATCCACCCACCCTCCCACCCAACAGCAGAGCCTGGCTCCGGGTTCCCTAGGTCACAGCTCTTGAAGAAGTGACACTGTGAGCAGAAGCCCTACTCAGGATGAGGGGAGAAAGAAAGCCTAGTTCAAAAGAAGCAGGAGCCCCAGAACACCCTTCACCTGTGGGACTGAGAGTGTGAACACATGGCTTCTTGATTAGGGGTAGGGGGAAAGGCTCCTGAGTGTTAATAAAATAAAACAAAACAAAAGAAGACACTTACAATTTTGCTGAGCAGTGAGTAGACTTCTGCACTGGGAGGGCACAAGTGAGGCCAGCCTGCAGGGACACGGTGACACCCGACCGGCGCCTCAGAGGGTGTCTCGCAGCAGAGTCACCCCGTATAGGGAGAAGGCTGCTCTCAACTCGGCCCATCCCTAGGTCTGCATCTGTGGCCAACCTTGGGCCACCACCCCTGCCCGCCCACACAGCCACAGGTACTTACCATACTCATGTCCTGGTGGTAGGTGGCTATGGCGAACAGAGAGGGGAGAGGGAGGAGACATACGTGAGACGTGAGCTCTGTGCCCGTGTCCCCTGCACCCAGGACAGCTCGCTGCCCCCACCCAGTCTTATTCCAGCGACACCCACCTTGGGCCAGCCACGGCTTCGTCTCCTACTTCCACTTTGGAGGAGTAAGTGGCCTGGAGCTCAGACAAGCCCAGGGCCCGGCGGTTCCACTGCTGCTGGGTGACAGCGGTCAACTCTTGATAAACAGGCTGGTGCTGTGTCAGGGAGTCCATGTCATCCGGGGAGTCTGCGTCTTCTGTGGACTCCGTGTCACCCGGGGAGTCCGCATCATCTGTGGACTCCGAGTTGTCCTGGGAGTCCGCAACGTCCAGGTAGTCCACGTCGTACGGGAAGTCCACATTGTCCGAGTCATCTGGGCAGTCCAGGGGCTCCCGGGACATCCTATGCAGATGGTCCGATTGCTGCTGCCCTTGTTGCCCATGCTGATTGGAAATACCAGAACTTTCTGGAACATTCCTCCTCTCCTCTGGTTCATCGTGAACCCTAGGCATACCAAATGAGTTCTTTTTCTTCGCTTTGCTCATGTTCCTAGATCAGTGAAGTGCCTGGACCACCCGGCTCTAGGGCTTGAGAAATGAACCTGCCAAACAGATCCCGGGGTCCCAACGCGTCCTGATGCCTGTGGCAGGAAAGAGAACAGAGGCGGCTCTGCTGGAGTGCCGTCTAGGGTCGCCAACTCACTTTTTATATTAAATGTTGGCAGCCATGGTGTTCCGGGGTCAAAGTTTCACGCAGACGCTTCGAGATGTTCATGCCCGGTGTATTTTCCTTTTACACACATGTAGACTGCATTTCTGCTCATATAAAATCAAACTCACCCTTTAATCTGGCTAGACACATTTCACCCCAGGGCTCATCCCCAAGGTAAGCAAAACAGCAACAGGAAGCTCCACGCACTCCACAGGGTCTGTCACCCCCTAGAGGGACAGCTTGGAGGAACTCCAAGAGCTCTGAGGAAGACTGAGATGCTCTGTTTGGAGGGGGCAAGGTTGTATTAAAGAATGATGATGAGGTCAGCTTGGGGATGATAATATTTCCTACTTTATGGGGTCATTCTTAGAAGTGGATGAAATCGGGCATGTAGAATGCTCGGTGTTGGATAAGGCAAATAGTAAGTGGAAGACATAATCGTACGCTTCTTTGTGGAAGGTTCTATCACAGTCTGCCTGCCCAGCAGTCAGCCCTAGGGAGGCCGTGGGGAGACCCAGGGTTCTATTAACAGAGCAGATTAGAAGCCTCAGGGACAAAACAACAGGTAGATATGGGAGGGGATTGTCCAGTTGGAGCCAATGGCTTCACAGTCGCACTCCGTCGACAGCCCTCGGGCTGGCGGGCACCCTCTCACGGAGCCCTACAGCGGGCGGCAGGGGGAGCCCCGGCTGCCTGCCCTGGGGAAGATGCAGGGGACGGTTTTCCTGCCCTCCTTATGTGTTTGACCGTGAACTAAATGCTTGACATAGGTGATCTCATGTTATCCTCAAACTGTGTGCGCCACATTTCATAGATTTTAAAAACTGGAGCTTGGAGCAGGTGAGCTTCGGGTCTATGATCCAACAGCCAGAAAACACAAAGAGGAGGTTCAAACCCTCTCCGGTCTGGCTCTAAACTGCCTCTTTTCCCACCTCCTTGTTAGAGGGTGGAAGGCAATGTCCACCACAACTACCGATACAGTTACCCTTTGACCCAGCACTTCTACTTTTTAAGCAATTATCCTACAGATGTGCTTGGATATATGCAAAACAACAGATGTACAAGGTAGAACATTACAGCAGTGTTTGTGACAGATGACTGGCCAAAACCCAAATGAGGGGACTGGTGCAGTAAGTTAGAGCACAGCTAACATAGCAGAACAGGATGCAGCTACTAAAGAAGACAAGGAGACCAGCGTTGATATGCAAAATTCCAAGGTGGAGGGGGGAGAAATGCAAAGTTCAGAAAATGTGCAAAATATGCAACTTTTGTGCAAAAGAAGGATGGAAATTAAAAGTTATCTTTGTGTACGTTTGCATGCACATAAGAAATTAGGAAGAAGGCCGGGCATGGTGGCTCACGCCTGTAATCCTAGCACTCTAGCAGGCCGAGAGGGGATAATCACTCAAGGTCAGGAGTTCTAAACCAACCTGAGCAAGAGCAAGACTCTGACTCTACTAAAAATAGAAAGAAATTAATTGGCCAACTAAATATACAAAAAAATTAGCCTGGCATGGGGGCAAATGCCTGTAGTCCCAGCTACTCAGGAGGCTGAGGCAGGAGGATCGCTTGAGCCCAGGAGTTTGAGGTTGCTGTGAGCTAGGCTGACGCCACAGCACTCTAACCAGGGCAAAAGAGTTCGGAAAGGGAAAGGGGGAAAGGGAAAGGAAAGGAAAGGGAAAGGGAAAGGAAAAAGGAAAGGACAGGACAGGAAGAAAGAAATTAGGAACAGTGGTTGCCTTTTGGCAAATAGGAAATTGGCAAATAGGAAAGAAGAATGGGAGGGAGATTTGTCACTGCATAACTTGGTACACTCTTTGCATATTTGTGGATATTTGAACCTAAGTTAAAAATTGTTGGACCTGGAGCCTCTTTCTCAGCCAAGTCCTTTCTTTCTCATCTTCCCCCAAATGATAATCCTATGGTTCTTAGTTATTTAGATGACGTAACACGCTCTCCCTGTTACCAATCAGGCCTCCCTTAAGCAGAGACACCAGGGCAGAGTGCGGAGCGTGGACACTCCCAGCCCAGAGTGGTGGACCAGCTGCTCACACTCACCTTTGGGGGCTGGGTAAAGCTAAAGGCAGTGAAACTATTTAACCAGGACTTTAGAACTCAAATTAACCAGAATTTCACCCTAAGAATAAGATAAGGCTTTCTAGAAAGAGGAGAAGTCAATATCACCAATTCCTATCTCTTCTCCCTCCCAGAGCTGGGAATAGAGACCCCTGCCCTTACGAGACAAATCTCTTTCCAAAACTTCACAAAATGCTGGTCGTGCAAATACGGGGGAGGGGGTCGCGCAAATCCCCCCTGGCAGGGAACTCACCTCTGAAGGCAGAAGTCAAACCCTAGAGACAGAAAGTCAGCTGAGTGCCAGCTAGGCTCGGCAGCCCCCTCTCAGGCCCCAGACCCTCCCTTCGACACCCAGGCACTGCCCCTGGCCTCCAGTGCAGCCATTTTTAAACCTTAACAATGGATCATCAAGCCCGGGCCAGAACCTGCGTCAGGTATCTGGCCCTGAATGGTTTGTCAATCACCCAGGAGTGGCCACACCCCCCTGTGCTTAGCCATAGCTGGCAGCCAGGGTTCTTGGCTGGGGTAAGTCAGGGATCCACCAAATAAGTTCATGTCGAGAGGCAAGATGGAGAAATTTTTAGGGGCGTAAGTCTTTGGATTGGATTAGAGCCGCCCTGCAAGAGCAGAGTTTGGGCAAAGATGGAGAGTTGAGTTGGGCTGTTCACACGAGCCAACCAAGAGGCAAAGTCTGACCTCCAGGTGAGGCCCCTTTGCTCCTGAGGCTGATCGGGGCTGAAGCCAATATGTGATTATGGAAGGGAGGTGGGCCCACTTTCCTTTTGTGCTCCCTGCTTTGGCCCAAACTTGCCTGGCTCTGTGCCTGTCATCTTTTACCAATGTCCCTGAAAGCAAAGACTGAGGAAGACTTTCTTTTTCATGGCTGTCCCATCCAATGGTTCTTAAATGTGAGCACACATCAGAATCCCCCGGAGGGCTTGTTAACACAGTGCTGCGCCCACCCCTAGAACTTCTGATCCTGCAGGTCTGGAGTGGACCCAAGTGTATTTCCAAGTTCACAGCAGTCCTGCTGCTGGTCTTAGGACCACATCTGAGAAGCACTGCATGACCCTTGGTCTGCTGGTCCCTTTCTGGAAGGCGGGAAAGGATGGTGAGGCCGGATGCCTCTCCTGCTCTGCTGCCCACTCTGCCCCCTGCCCCGGACCAACCCCCAAACTACTCTGTCCTCTCCTCGGTGGCTTCTTGTCTGTTGGCTTCCTTCTCTTGCAGCAGAAGTCCTGCTGCTACTTAGAAGTATTTTACCACCTCTGACCTCCAATCTCCAAAGCTCTGTCTCTCCCTTCCTCCTCACACAACACTTGTCCCTAAAACTTCTGTGGCTGCCTACTGCCTTCAAGATCATCCCTCCACTCCTCCACCTAGTATTTAAAAATCCATCCCCACCTACCTTTTCCCTGCTTGTACCCTATATTCCTGCCAAGCCTCACGCCCAATGTGTTGAGTGTACATTTCCATGCTCGTGCTTTGCTTGTACTCTTCCCGAATCCAGGAATGCTATTCCTTGCCCACTTACGGGTCACATATGTGCTTCCATGCACTGAGTCCCGGATGCCAGGGACCAGAGGGCAGGTTGAGGCCAGATTTGGGAGCTCCAATATGAGAAGGAGGATGGGGGTTATACACACATAAATTCCCATCCTGACATGTGATCCATTTTTGGTGAATTATTTCTTTTGTCATTTTCACAGGAAATGCAACAGTGAGGCATAGAGGCATAGATTTTATCCCCAATTTGGAAATGTGAGAATTAATTCAGGGGGTCAGAACCTCACAGATACATGCCCAGGATGTCACTAAATGGGCAGAAGAGCGAGCTGGGATGCAAATCCAGGCCTAGAGGAGCTTTCCAAATGTGTTTACGAGCAAGCCTCATTGAATCACAGAAGTTCTTTACATATTCTGATTATGAATCCTTTGTCAGATACATGTGTGACAGCTGTCCCCTGCCAATCTGTGGCATGCCTTTAACTCTCTCAGTGGTGTCTTTGGATGAACTCATTTTAAGAAGTTCTATCGAGTTTATCTTTTATTTTATAATTAATTCTTTAGTCTTATTTTGGAAGTGTTTGCCGATCCCAACATCATAAAGCTATATGCGTTTTTGTTTACTTCTAGAAGCTTCACTATTTTACCTTTCATATTTACATCTACGAAATTTAGGACCCTGGCAACATCTGGAATGTGGTGCAGGAAAAACAGACAGCCCTGAATGGAAGCCTGGGCCTCTCGGGAGAGGGAGCACTCAGGGTGGTGAGAAGCCCGGGCCTGCCACTGCCAAGCAGCGGGGGCTCTGACAGGTTACCTGTGCCTCAGTTTCCTCATCTATAAAATAGACTTGGCAGGATTATATCCTTCCTGAAGCAGCAGATTCAGGTTAATAGATCCAGAAGTTAATAAGGGCTTTGATGATTCCAGATTTCAAATAAATGCTCATTGACAGCAGTTCTTGGAGGCCTCAGGAGAGAAAAAGAAGTGAGAAAGGTTGGTGGGAGGACCCTTGTCATCAGGGAGTGCAGCCCTTGGAGGAAAGGACTTCTAGAAGGGGTATGGGGTCTGGATCACTATACGGGGCATGCCTTAGCTTACTCTCACAGCTGCTCCAGGAGGGAAGTTTACATTTAAGGAAACTGAGGCACAGAGAAATAAGTGATTTGCTTATAGTCACACAGCAAGGAAGTGCTGGAGTGAGGGTTTGGGCCTAGGTTCAACCTGCACAACCCCACATGGTCCTCTACCTGGCTGCGGGGAGAGGGAGGAGGAACAGGGACCATCTGTCTTCAGCAACCTGGCCAGGGTGGCTTCTGTGCACGCTTGGACAAGACGCCAGATTGCTAAGAATGAAGTGTCACATCCTGGTAGACATGGAGGTGAGGGAGTGAGTAGAGTGCTCAGCTGAGACAAAGAACTGGAGGCAGCCCATGGGGTGCCGGGGTCAGGAGGGCAGTGGTTCTCAAACCCAGAGGCTAGGTAAAGGCAACCGAGTGCTTTAAAACCAGCTAGATGGAGAGACAGCACGTCCTGTTGTACCTCAGCTGTGTCTTTGGATGGAGGGACATGGTTGGTGCGGGTGCAACTGGTGGGACTCCCTGGATCAAAGCTGTCTGAACCAGGGTGCAGCTGCTTCTGGGCAGAGAAAGCAAACAGGGCCGATGATGTCATCAAACACATCTGAGCGTCTCCCCCCTCGCCCACCACCTCTCCACGCAAGGGGGCAGTTGGCACATCTGGCACTGAGTACACAAGGCCGAGCCCACCACCTGGCCATGACCCTTGTGGATGTCAGGCTTTTAGGGAAAACGGACTGCTGAACTGGAGATTACAAAGCAGAGTGGAAAGTGACACGGTGGGGGCGGGGGATGTAACAGGGCTGCAGGAGCAGAGACAAGGGCACGTGACCCCCTAGTAGAAGGTGGCAGGCAACAGGTGAGATCTGAGACACGAAGGATGGAGGGCTTAGTGGGGTGGAGGAGAGCAAAGGAGAATGTTCTAGGCAGAGAAGAGCAGGTGCTAAGGTTTGGAGGAGTATATTATAGCAACTGGGAGAATTTTCTAGGGGCAGGAGCACAGACGGTGTGAGCTGTGATGGCAGGAAGGGCAGGAACGTGTGTTCCTTTCTGGGGAGAGTTGGGAGGCATTTGGGGGGCTCTAAGCATGGGAGACATGATCAGACCTGGGTTTCGGAAGGAGGACTCGGCTTGTTCCCCTGTGGATAGACTGGGGGAGGGGTAAGACAGGAGGCCGGGACCCAGTTAAAAGAAAAAGACGCTCAGCATCACCACTAGTCATCAGGGAAATACAAATCAAAACCACAACGAGATACCACTTCATACTCACTAGGATGGCTATAACAAAAACAACCAAAACCACAGAAAAGAACAAATGTCAGCAAGAATGTAAAGAAACTGGAATTCTCATACATTGCTTATAAGAATGCAAAATGGTGCAGCCATTGTGGAAAACAGTTTGGCAGTTCCTCAAAAAGTTAAACATAGAGTTACCATCTGACCCAGCAATTCCTCTCTTAGATACAGATCCAAAAGAACTGAAAACAGGGACCCCCAGCAGATTCTTGTACACCAATGTTCATAGCAGCAATATTCACAATAGCCAAAAGTGGGAACAACCCGAGTGTCCATCAACAGATGAACGGATAAACATAATGTACTATATTCCTACAGTGGAATATTATTCAGCCATGAAAAGGAACAAAATACCAATACATGCTACAACATGGACACACCTTGAATACATTAGGCTAAGTGACAGCAGCCAGGCACAAAAGTCCACGAATTGTATGACAGAAAGTAGATCAGTAGTGATTGCCAGGGGACTGGTGGGGGGATGGGAAGCAACTGCTTAATGGGTAGGGGGGTTCCTTTTGGGGTGATGAAAAAGTTCTGGAACTAGACAGTGCTAATGGTTACTCAACATGGTCAATGTACCTCATGGCACTGAACTGTACACTTTAAAATAGTTAAAATGGTAAATTTCACGTTATGTGTATTTTACCACAACAAAGAAACAAAAGCAGACATAGGGTCATGAGTTAAAGGCCCTGCAAGTCCCAGTAGCATTTTTCCTTCTTCCTCTTCAGCAAACTCCAGGCAGTTTGGCCGGTGGTTTTCTTACCTTTGCTGCCCTAGAAGAGTCAGTCAGCTGCAGGTGCCCCTAGGCAGCTACAGTCAAATTGGGAGGAGGGACCCTACCCCCTGGCCAGCCACCGCCGCAGGCTGGAGCGCGAGTCATGGGGCAGGACCACAAACGTCGGCCCCAGATCTGCATTTGGGGGCTGCGCGCCCCCTGGTGGGCAACTGGAGAGCAGCCCCCTCATTTCCACCTGCGAGGCCTCGCTCGCGCCCCAGTTCACTCGCTGGCTGCTTCAGATACCGTCCCCTACCCCGAAAATCTCTTTTTCCGCACAGTGGCCCGGGGGATTTACCTGGACGCTTGTTGTTGATGGAAATGCATAAACCATATAACTATCCACAGGCGCAAAACACTTCTTTCCCCGACGGATTCACGTCGTCATCCGAGCCACCGAAGCGTGCTCCCGAGCGAGCGTGCTCGAGGCCCGCTGAGTCCCGCACACCAGCAGCGCCAAGGAGACTGAGAGCGCAGGGCAGGCGGGGACACCGCGCAGAGGACCCAGTGCGGACGGGGACCAGGGAGGCCGGCAAGGGGGCGGTGGCGTTTGAGGGGAGCTTAGGGTGGGAGGGGAAGAGCGCTCCAGGTGGAAGGGACAATGCGCGGCCAGGCCCTGCTCACGGTTCGCCTGGCCCCTGATGCTTCCTCAATATTGCTCTCTCCCTGTCACTCCTTGCGCCTCAACAGAGCGCCCTGCTCACGCGCGGGAGCGTGGTGGCGCCGCTCTTCCAGGAGCACGGTGGCATATCCCCGCACGGTGCATCGCTCTTCCCGCCACCTGGCCCCCCCAACTGTGCTCTGGGACACCTGGACTCCGGACTCCTGCATTCTCATTTCTGCCCTGGATCCGCCTCTTTCCTCCCAAGGGACCTTTATGCAAAGCTCCCAGCCCGGTCACTCGCAGGGGCCCGCCGGCGACTGCCCCCTCCCCCACAGTCCTCCACAGCAGCTCTACTTATGTGGCCTCTGAGCAAGACTTGAAGGAAAGTTGGCGGTGGCTGCACTAACCATTCCTTCCGACTCTGGCCTGCAGGGCGCGGGGTGGCCCGTTAGGCAAAGCCAGTCCGGAGCGCCCCCAGGCCTCGGGGTCCCTGGGCTCATCTCCGCCCACCCCACTCCGCTGGAGACTTCCCACCGTCAGCTTGGGTGGGGACTGTTGTTGCAGGGCTACTCCTCCGGCTCGGGGCAGGGGACGAGCCCCCTCGCGTGGCCCAGGGGACAGGGCGGCCTCCCTCCTGGGTTTTCTTCCTGCTCCCGGAGAGTGGGGCGTGCGCCAGGCCACCAGGGACCAGCGGGGGCGGGGGCAGAAGGGCTTCTCGGGGCTCCCTGGGGCTCCCCTATGCACAACGACGCGGGCGCAGGGCCCCGCGTCCCTGCCCCCTTCCATGCTGGGCAAAGCCGAGGCCCAGAGAGGGTGAGACAGACCCACCGGGCGGCCACGCGCCAGCCCCGGCCTGGGAGCACGTGAGCTGCGCCGCTCCAAGGCAATGGCAGGGTAGGGACAGGCCCACACGCAGGGGGACGACAATAGAACAGCCTCTTACCGTGGTGGGCCACGCTACGGACAACCAGCGGAGAGAGGCTCAGGGCAGCCCTGGAGTCCGCGGAAGGCTTCTTGGAGGCTGGGCTTGGGCTGAGCGTGGGTGGGATTTCGGTGGCCCGTAGGAGGTGGGGGCCACGCTTCAGGAACTCTGGAGCCACTTGGAGACCAGCCTGCACAGTGGGAGATCAAACAGGAGCAGGGGCAGGCTGAGGCCCAGAAGCAGGGGCAGGCTGAGGCCCAGAGGCCTGAAAGCAGAGCTGGCTCAGACCCTGGGCAGGAGCCCTGGTCTGTAGCGTGTAGTGTGGCCTGCGAGCAAGGGGAAGGGGTCCCCAGGAGGCCGAGGTTGGCTCATCTGAGATTCCCCAGCCTGTGGCCAAGCTCTGGCCTGTGGAAAGGGCCTGCCAGTGGTCCTGGAATTGAATGGAATGTGGTGGGGGAAGATGTCCTCGCCCTTGTCAGGCCAGAAGACACAGACAAAAGGGGGGAGTGGAGACTTAAGAGGCACAGAGGACAGGAGAGAATACAGAAGCCTCTTCTCAGAACCCCCAGCCCGACTGCAGAGAGAGGGCTGCCAGCCCGCAGGAAGCTGTGCTGATAGCACTGGAGCCCTGCCCCCAGCTCATGGACACCCCCCCAGCTTGTGGACACCCCCCAGCTCGTGGACACCTCCCAGCCCGTGGACACCCTGCTGGCACCTCTCACCAGGCTCCCCCCAGCCATGTCCTCCTCTGAGCTTCCATTCCCACCCCCACCCCCGACCTGGTCAGGACAGGCCCAGATGTTCTCTGAGGGCTAGTGTGACAGGTCAGAGCAAGAGGGACAGAACAGACTGAAGGAGAAAGACTTTAATCCCCTCCCTTCCGGGCCCAGACTCCAGTGCGGAAGAGGAGAACTGCCTCTGGGGACAGGGGCCTTCTGTGGTGAGGTTCCTTGTTGTCCTTCTAAGGCCTCCCATGAACCCAGGCATCCTAGGACTGGGACAGTGAACAGGGGAGCTATAGGATATCAGGAGTACTGGGTGGTGGGGTCATGTGACTTCATACAGCTTGGAAGATGTTTAAGTACCTTCTTTTTGCCCTCCAATCTCCAGGGTCTGAGCAGATGGTCCTGCTCTGAACAGTAGCAAGCCTGTGGGAGGAAGAAAACAGTCAGGGGCCATAGGGTGCTGGGACCAACCCCACTCTGCACTGACCAGAGGAACCAGAGACACAGAGAGGCCCAAGGTCACACAGGACATTGGCAGCAGATCTGGGATATCAGGTTCTGTCCTCAGTGATTTTTGATTCTCCTGGAGTCCCTGCCTTGGTCGTACCACAGCAGAGAAACTGGACCCTGCGGGATGCCAGGGCCAAAGGACTTCCTGAGCTCCCTCCCCTGTGTGCCAGCCCAGAGGCCTGCAGAGGCTGTCCCTGAGCCGGGAAGCTTGGGGGAGCCCTGGCCTTCTGACCTCTCCTCTGGCCTAGCTAAGAGATCACATCAGGTGCTGATTTGCTGTGGGACTAGGGGGTGTCCCATCCCTGGGCCTCAGTTTCTCCATAAGTAAACAAAGGACTTGGACTCCCTGGCTTGGGGCCCTCCAGGGTCACACAGCATGCGGTGTAGAATTGCCCAGAGTTGTAGGACTGGGTGGTGATGGGGAAGAACAGTCCCACTCTCTACTCTCCTCAAGGTATGTTCTGGGGTGTCCAGGGTCTGTCTGCCTCTTCCTGTGCCCAGCTCCCAGGAAGCCCAGGGTGGGGTAGACTTACACAAGGGCATCCTTGGGACACTCCTGAGGTCCTACACCATGTCACTAGCTTTCTGACAGGAATGGCTGCTTTAAGTACTCAAGGCAGCACCCCTGGCCGACATTCCCTGAGCCACAGAGAGCAGCAGCAGGCGTCTGTGTGACGGGGTGGCCAGTGGGGTGTACCACGTGTGCCTCTATGTGTCTGGGGGTGGCGTCTGTGTCTATGGGAAGGTCTGTACGTGCAACTAGTTTATGCCTCTGGGAGAGAGATTTGGGGGCTTCCCGCATGCGTGCGCATCTGTGCGTGTGCGCGGCTGTGGCCATCAGACATGCGCACACACTCAAATGACAACCCCCATCGCCATCTCTGGGCAAGGCTCTGGCTGAGCATTTACCAGCAACAGGTAATTCAGTCCTCACAACCACACCTGGGAGGCAGGTTCTGTCATTACCCCATTTTACAGATGACAGAATAGAGGCCTGGAGATATGAAGACACTTCTCTGTGCCTCAGTTTCCTCATCTTTGTGCAAAAAAAAATCCCAAACTTGGAAATAGGCAAAACTATGATTGTGTGGCTTTTAAATATATATGACATATATATGACACATTTCCTAAGCCATTTACCCCTAACTGTTCTCTGACCCTCCCAGGGGATACAATTTGGTTTGACTAACTCTGTAGCACTGATTGAACCCCAGCCCTTTCTCAGCCCCATGAACTTACAGCAAACCTACAGCAGACTTTAGGGTGGGACCATGTCATTTGCCCAGTTGAGAAGATAACCCTAAATGATTACAGTTTCATGACCATGCAAGACTAACCGATCTTGTTTCAAAAGCAGCCACCTTATTTCAACTTTCCTTTTCTAACTGAATATATATGAATCTCTTTATAATGCTCTTGGAACCAATTCTCTCATCTTTCTGTTTATTCCATCATTTTATTTACAAACTCAAGAATGAAATGGATGCCAGTGAATGGCTTTGAGGAACATTCTTTTCCAACTGTGAAACGAGAATCGGTCACTGTCTTTGCCACCGTCACGCAGGGCTCAATCACAGTTTGAGATGTGCAAAAATTTTGTAACTTGCCAAGCTGATCTCTGTGCTTGGGGCATCATTATTAATTTGCTTTTGCTACCCTTCTTTAGTAGGAACAAGCCTGTATTGTGCTGTGGTCCCAGCTCCCCCATCCCATGCCCACAGGTGACTGGGGGGCCCCTTCAGACCCCATCCCTGCTCTCACCTGCACGGGTGTGCTGAAGAGAAGGCCCCAGGAGGCAGGTGACCAGGAGCAGCATCTGCAGGTGAGTCGTGGTGCAGGAGCCCAGGAAGGCCCTTGGTGCTGGCAGGTAAAGATGACCTGTTCAGCCCCACATCCTCCCACTCCCCTCACGTCCCTCCCTGGCCCAGTACATGATGGAGAATCTGAGATGATTCTATGGGATTCCAGTGTTTTTGGCTTTCCAGAGAATGGACACTCAACTGGGGACAGAGGTGGGTGCAGAAAATGATGACACACAGCTCCTTCAAAGGGGACATTTCTTGACTCCTCCATTACCAAAAGCCAAAAAAAAATAATAAAAAATCTCTGTCTTGGACTGGGTTAACCTATGTGCTGTGTCTCTGAAGCTGAGGAGCTCCATCAAGACTGGGCCCTGAGCAGTGGGCAGATGGGGGGACAGGCAAGCGAGGCAGGGACAGAAGAGAGTCCCTTAACTAAGTACCATAAACAAACCTCAGGCATTGGAATCCTACTGCGGTAGAGACTGCTGAACAAGGGCACTCGGGCACCTCTGTGGTTGGGTCCATGGCTTCATCTGAGTCTGAAACCAAAATGGTTAAGTGCCATTCAGTGCCCTTAGCTGGGCACTGAAACACAGGGGAGAGGCTGATGAGACTTTGCCCCTATCCTGTCCAAATGTTCTGTTCAATAGATCCAGAAGCCGAGTGCCCAGAATGGGAGGACATCATGCCAAGGCCACAGAACAAAAAGAAAAGGGTGGCAGGAAAATGATGCCTCGCTTCTAACAGGACCTCACTCAGACATCTGGAATGAACACCTGGTCAGTGTCCAGACTGAGCCAGGCCCTGAGCAGTTTCCCAAGCCTCCCCTCTGGCCACAGCCTGTGTGCAGGTCACTCTACCAGCCACCAGAGAAAATGATCAGTTGTTTCACTATGGTCCACTGTAGGGCCAGAGGATGGATGCCAGGTGGTGTCAGCACCCCCACCCCATGTTCTCAGAATTGGCTCTGAAAACAGCTCAGACCCCCAAGAACTGTAGGGGTGAGAGAGTTAGGGGGAGGGCTGAGGAGTGTGTCATCTATAGCACTTGTGGGATGGGGCAAGTTCTTGTTCTTGTCTTGCCTGTGTGTTTCGGCCCCTTTCTTTACACTTTCTACTTGGGCCTACTGTTCTTCAGCTTTCTAACAGCCTGTTCTTTATATTGCTTAGAATTTTTTTAAAGGGGTGATAGATTTTCTTCTCAACAGTATGTTGAGACTTCCAAGATTTTCATGGAACCAGAGACCTTGAAAAGCACCTACAAGACTGGGAATCCAAGGCAGCCACCTTACTTCAGGACCTCAGGAGCTATGTGTATGGAAGAGTTCCACTTACTGCAAAGCAGGAACCCTCTAACACACTTTCTTGTTGACTGCATTTTATACCTACATAAAGGGCATCTATAGTAAATGCCATTTTTGAGGGCTGCATAGTATTCTATGTATGCATATATACCAATAGGATCTACAAAAAAAAAATCTTCACTAGAGTACTGCTGAAACTGAACATCTCATAATCGTTTTATTATTTTTAAAAACTGCCTGTTGGTATTATTTGCTGGTTTTGATTAATTTGTCTTTCTTTTAAATAAAAATCACTTTGCATATTAGATATTACACTTTTATATCACAAATTTTATAAAGGTATTTCTGCTTTTTACGTTTTATCTTTTAACCTCATTTGGGATTATTTGAAATGAAAACATACAGAAATATTTAGTTTTGAGTAGTCAATTTATCAATATATTCCCTGTGGCTGGTTTCTAGCTTTCATCTGACACTTAGAAAGTTTTTCTCTATTCCATGAAAATAAAAATATTTACTCGTGTCTTTGTTCCTTTTTTAAAGAAATCTTTATTTTTCCTCTTTACAAAAGTATTGCATGCTTATTATTAAAAAACTAAACAGAAATAAGTTAATTTAAGTAGAGCGATTATCTTTATAATATGGGTTTTCCTGTCCAAGAACGAGATTTCTCTTTCCATTTTTTCAAGTTTCCTTTCATCACCCTCAGAGAAGACTTTTAATTTCCCCACATAGGTCTGCCATGATCATTGTTTAATCCTAGAAAATCTACTTTTCTTGATGCTGCTAGGGACAGGATATTTTCTTTCATTATATTTTCTAATTCTTGTTGGCACAAAACAAAGCTATTTATTTTTGGATGTTTCTTTTTAACTGGTCATCTTTTCCTGATTCAAAATAGAATTAAAAAAAAAAAAGATTTGTTTCCATGTGAAAACTTTGCCATATTCATTTCCCTCTCAGGGTATTCCATGATGGTGAATTTGATGATACTTGATTCATTTTGGCATTAACGTTAAGAGTTTTCTACACCTTTCTTATTAGTATTTGACACTCTGATGCTAAGTTGGAAGCTAAACCTGAAGGCTTTCCAACACACATTATACAAATGTGGACTGTTATTAGGATTTTCCTTCACTATGGACATTCTGATGCTGACTAAGTTGGAAGCTAAACCTGAACGCTTTCCGACACACATTACACACATAGGGTTTCTTCCAAGTGTGGACTGTCTGATGTATAATACAGTCAGAACTAAAGCTGAAGCCTTTCCCACACTCCACACATCTAAAGGGTTTCTCCCCAGTGTGGCTTCTCTGATGTCGAATTAAGTGGGCATTAACATGGAAGGCTTTTCCACATTCCTTACATTGAAAGGGCTTCTCTCCAGTATGGATTCTCTGGTGCACAATATAGTCAGAACTACAGCTGAATGCCTTCTCACATTCCATACATTTGAAAGGTTTCTCCCCAGTGTGTATTCTCTGATGCCTAGTTAGTTTGGCATTAATACTAAAGGCTTTCCCACATTCCTTACATTGATAGGGCTTTTCTCCAGTATGGATTCGGTGATGATCAAATAGGTTTCTTTTAGAAGTAAAGCATTTCCCACATTCATTGCATTCAAAGGGTTTCTCCCCAGTGTGAATTCTCTGATGCTGCATTAGTTTTGCATTAACACTGAAGGCCTTTCCACACTCGTTACACTCATAGGGCTTCTCCCCAGTGTGGATTCTCAGATGCTGCCGAAGCTGGGAGTTGCACCTAAAGGCCTTCTCACATTCGCTGCACTCATAGGGTTTCTCACCTGTGTGGATTCTCTGGTGCTGAATTAATTTCCCTTTGACACCAAAAGCTTTTCCACATTCAGTGCACTCATAGGGTTTCTCACCGGTGTGGATTCTCTGATGTTGCATCAATTTTGCATTAACATTGAAGGCCTTTCCACACTCTTTACACTGATAGGGCTTCTCTCCAGTATGGATGTTCTGATGCTGCCTAAGCTGAGAACTGCACCTGAAGCCTTTTCCACACTCATTACATTCATAAGGTTTCTCTCCAGTATGGATTCTCTGATGTTGAATTAATTTTGCATTAACATTGAAAGCTTTCCCACAGTCATTACACTCATAAGGTTTCTCCCCAGTGTGGACTCTCTGATGTGTAATATATGCAGAACTACAGCTAAAGCCATTTCCACACTCCTTGCACCTATAGGGTTTCTCTCCCGTATGGACTCTCTGATGCCTACTTAGACTCCCATTAACACTGAAGGCCTTCCCACACACCTTACACTGATAAGGCTTCTCCCCACTGTGGATTGCCTGATGCGTGATATAGTGGGAACTGTAGCTGAAGCTTTTCCCACACTCCACACATTTGAAGGGTTTTTCCCCACTATGAAGTCTTTGATGCCAAATTAATTTTTCATTAACACTGAAGGCTTTGCCACACTCTGTGCACTGATAAACCTTCTCCTCGGTGTGGCTTTCTTGATGCTGAATAAGGTGAGAGTCATAGCTTAAGTTTTCCACTAATTCTTCACATTTGAAAGGTGTTTCTCCAGAATCAATTATTTCATGCTTAATAAGTTTTGTGTCAAAGCTGAAGGCTTTCTCCAGTTCTGTACACACGGGGGGCTGCTCTCCAGTGGAGATGGCATGACACTGATACAAATTTGAACTTTGACTTAAGAAAAAATCCTCCATGGGGCTTGCATCATTTTTCACTGTTCCATCAATGACACTGCTCTTTTCCTTCTTCATATTTCCTGCTGAGTGGATTGCTTGTCGTTTCTCTAGAATATAGGCTTCTGAGAAGTCTGTTTCCTGGGAAAATTCCCTTTGAAGTTCAAGTGATGTATAATCTTTTTCTTCACACATTTCCCTTGTCAAATTATTGTCAGTCTGAATACCTACTATAAAAAACAGAAAACATAAAATGTCATGTAAGAACCATGCTACAGAAAAGAACTGTGCTATAAAGGATCATAATCAAGGGGCTCCTTAAAATCACCAGACTAGGTCAAAGAACCTAAGGCTTATACATAAGGTGTAATAAAAAATATGTAGCTGGCAAAAGAATAAAATAAATCTATATATGCTGACATTGAAAGATACCCAAGATACAACATTATGGATAAACAAGTTGAGAATAGTATATAGGTTCCATCTCTGTAAAGAAAAATAAAAAAGGCAGACACATACATTTATATATTTGTATACCTCCAGAAAACTTCTGGAAGAATACATAAGAAACTGAACAAAGTGGCATAGGAAGTTTGGTAGACTTATTTTTCCACTTTATACACTTTCTATACTATTTTGAGTATGTGTCAGTATTATAAATTTTAAAGTAATGATTAAAAAAGATTGTCAGTCTCACTCTGCCTAAAGGAAAGCCACTGTAAAGGACATAATCAATAATATGAAGGTTAAAAATGACACCAGCAGAATAAAACTCTAGGTCTTGTCCACCAGATCAGCATTCTTTCCATTGCACCATGCTTTTCTACATTCTGAAGTTTCTTTTTAGTTGTCCCTATGGCATTGAGTTCCTTATTAATAAAAATAGAAAATGCTTAAGAAGAAAAAGGCACAGAATCCAAGCATATGTGGCAACACTGGGGATGACACATGTTAGCAGCACCAAGAAGCAAAGGGAAAGAATTTTGTTTCCTTCCTTAGAACTTCAACTCCAGGCTTTCCAAAATTCCCCCATCTATTTCCTTTTTTGTCTACTTCAGAAGACTCTATTTAAGGCCCATTTGATCCCACCCCTTCCCACCCTCCTCCAGAATACTACTGCATTACCTTTGCCTTTTCCTTTCACCTCTTCCCTCAATCCTAAAATTGATCATTCCTTAAAATGCTTTCTATAATCCCAACAGTCTTTCGAACTACTGATCTCTGCATTTGTTCCCAAATTTCTCAAAAGGTTGGCCCAAATATGATGCCTCTATTTTTCCATCTTTCATCTCTCCTTAACCACATGTACTACGCCTCCTACCTCAATATTTCACTTTAGATGCCCACAATAAACCCAAGTGGTTGGGCAAGCATTTTCAAAATAATGTCAGTCTTTTGCCAATTAAAAAAATAACACTCATGTGTTACTGAATATTTGCCCTCCCTCTAAATTCATACGTTGAAATCCTAATCCCCAGTGTGACTGTATTAGGAGATGGGGCCTATATCAGAATACTCATGAATGGGATTAGTGCCTTTATAAAAGAGATCTAGAAGCTCCCTTCCCTTCTGTGAGAGGACACTGTGAGAAGACGCCTATTAACCAGGAAGCGGGCCTTTGCCAGACACAGAATCTGTCAGGACCTTGATCTTGGACTTCTCAGATGTAATAAATAAATTTTTGTAGTTTATAGGCCACCAAGTCTATGGTATTGTTATAGTAGCCCAAACTAAGACATCTATAGTTATCAGAAACTTACAAAGAAGAACATTAAAATTACCTGCAATACAACTACCTACAAGTAACTATAGTAGTCCCCTCTTATCTGAGGGGGAATATGTTCCAAAACCACTAGTAAATACCTGAAACTTCGGATACTACTGAATCTCATATTTATTATGTTTTTTTCTATGCATATATACCAATGATAAAGTTTAAATTATAAATTAGGCACATTAAGAGATTAACAACAATAAAATAGAACAATCATAACAATATGCTGTGACAAACATTATGTGAATGTGGTATCTCTCTCTCTCTCAAAATATCTTAATATTTTTAGACCGTTGGTTGACCATGGGTAACTGAAACTAAGGAAAGCACAACCAAGGATAAGGGAAACTACTGTACTACAATCTTCTGATTTATTTCCTTCCCCAACCATTTTCTTTGCAATCATTTTTCTAAAAAGAAATATGCATTTTTTTCAAAACTGAAAATCTTTTCTTCCTTAAATATTTATGATGATCATTTTTAACACCTTTAGATATAATAAGAAAATATACTTTCCAATTGTTAAATAGTATTCCATCCAACAGAGGTACCTCAATTTAACCATCCTTCTTACACTGAAAATTCAGATTGTTTCTAATATTTTATTATATAAAATTATGATGGACTTATATGCATATGTATCTTTGTCTATACCTCTGATTACTTTATTAGGGTGCAGTCCTTGAAGGGAATATCCAGGTTACCAAGTACATACTTTTTTAAAGGTTTTTGATATGTATAACTAAAGTACTTTCTGGAAAGACTACCAATTCACATTCACCTCCAAAAGTTTATTCCTGTTTTGCTGCACTCTCATCAACACTTAGTTGTTCTCAATATGATAGATGAAATCTCTGCCCTGTTTTAATCTGTATTTCACTGGTTTCTACCAAGGGTGGACATGTTTCCCATTGATTAACATTCGCACTTCTTAAGTGGATCAACCACTTATATTCTTTGCTAATTTTTCTACACTAATGACTTTATTTACCAAATCCTACGGTGTGACAGATGTCAATATCCATCCTCCCTTTTCTGAAGTAGCAATATGCCCAGCAAAAACAATACTGTCCTTCCTCTCTTGCAGTGAGGATGGCCGTTTGACACAATTCCAGCAAATGTGATTTAAACAGAAATTGCTGGGTGGGTTTCCGAACACTTATAAAAACAAAGTTAACTTTGCTGACACAGGCCTCATTCCCTTTGCCCTTCCCCTTCTGGCTGCCGGAAGACCCTCTAATTCTTCACCCCAATTAACCCACACACACTGACTACATTAATGTTTTTATCCTCAGCTAAGATCATGATGGGTTGCTCAGAACTTCAAAGACTTCCAGATGGCCTGCTGCCTATAGAATGAAATCCGGACTCCTTTGATTAAAGACCTCACAATATCACTTTTTTCTTCTTTATTTGTCAAGCACATTACACTTCAAACTCTCCATTTCCAAAGCACGCCTTCCTTGGCCAGGTATCATCTAGCAAAATGATCAAATGGAATAAAAAACTCACTGAAACCATCTAAGAAAAATGAAGATTCATTGAAAAAAAATGCAAAAGAATCTCATGGACCCCAAGTGCAGGAAATAAAAGTGAGGCTTCAGGGGAAAAGAAAAGTCATCTGAAAAATAAAAGATTACAAAAAAAAAATTGAACTTTTAAATAAAATGGTTAATCACCTTTTAAAATGCAAAAAAAAAAAAAAAGAAAAAAGAGAAGTCACCTGGCAGTTACTCTGCTTGCACCAATTAGAACCTTGCTACTTCAAGCGTGGTGGATGACCAGAAGAACTGGCCAGGGAGTATAATGGAAATGCAGACTCTTGGCCCTGCCCCAGACTTCCTAGACTTCCTAAATATCTGTGAGACCCCCAGGTGATTCATTTACACATGAACATTTAAGAAGCAATTGAAACCACTTCTTCCCTTAGGTTCCCACCTTACTTCCCCTACATATAGCTGTCTCCCCACCGCCACCAAAATAAAAATATTTAATTGTGCACACACTATAAGCTAGGCACTTGATATGTGTTATTTCATTTAATCCTCAACCTACAAGACTAGTACTATTTCCTTCTTTTACTATTATTCTCCATTTTCAGAGATGAGAACACTGAATCTTAGAAAAGTCAAAGAATTAAACCACTTGAAAGTCGCATGACTAGAAAGTACCACAGTTGGGACTGGAAAAGTCTACTCTAAAGACTATGCTTTTAACAACTTCTGCTTTTTTTTCATTTTTTTGAGATAGGGTCTCACTATGTTGCCTGAGCTGGAGTGTGGTGGTGTCATCATAGCTCACTGCAAATTCAAACTCCTGGGCTCAAGTGGTCCTCCCAACTCAGCCTCCTGAGTAGTGGGGACTACAGGTGTGCCTCACCACGCCTGCTTTATTTTTCTGTTTTTTATAGAGATGGGGTCTCATTATGCTGCCCAGGCTCATTTCTCCTTTTCTGTGTGAAAAGGCTGTTAATTCTCTTATCCTCCACATTAAGTAGACAATGCTTAGAAAATGGCAAAGGCCCCCAAAATTAATGAATCCACTAATTTGTCTGAGAAAGGCAGGATTCCAAAATTAGGATTATAAAGAGTTAGAATGAGGCATTTGAAAAAAGATCTCTTCTTGGAATTAGACACAGAAAACTGCAAAAACCGAAAGGACTGTACCTATCTCTATAAATCAACAAAACTTATTCAAACTTTGTGTGGCTGGTCGATAAATGTGGCATGTTTACATGTTGCTGAAGTTGGCCTTCTTCCTCAAGAGCTAAACTTTCCAATGGAATGGGCAGTATGTGCCTCACTTACCAGTCCAGAGGCCCTGGGGGCCTGTTCCTATTCCGGTGGCCAGCAGAGAGGGGCCCCGCAGCTCACCTCCTTCCTCCAGTTGTGAGATCACAGCAGGTTTGAGAAGTGGAAATCCTGGTTTGGGGGAAGTAAATAGGACAGATAAATGAATAATCTCCTACAGTAAGTTCCTAAGCCTCTTCTCGGATCATCTCAGCAATGGGGACGGAAGGTGAGAGCCCCAGGGGTTCCAAGCTTAAGGACCACGGGAAAGTGTTGGGGGACTTGGGAAGTGTGAGAGGGTGTAGGGGAGCTTGGGAAAGGCCCAGACTATGGGTCCAGGACCTCATGCAGGACAGGCAGGGAGATTCTGCACAAAAGGGTTACTATTAGATTGGTGCAAAAGTAATTGCAGTTTTATCATTGTTGAAATTTGCTATTGGAATACATTCTTAAATAAATGTGGTTTAGCTATACATCATTTTAAAGCCCATTTCTCACTCTATATTTTTTGTTAATGACCTATTATTACTTGCTGTTTATTTTATATTTATTTTAGACTATGGAAATGGTGTTAGACAAAAAGCAAACTCAAGCAATTTTCTTATTTGAGTTTCAAGTCGTAAAATAGCAGAGACAACTTGCAACATAACAACACATTTGGCCCAGGAACTGCTAACTAATGTACAGCGCAGTGGTGGTTCACAAAGTTTTGCAAAGGAGATGAGAGCCTTGAAGATGAGGAGCGCAGTGGCTGGGCAACAGAAGTTGACAACGATCAACTGAGAGCAATCATCAAAGCTGATCCTCTTACAACTACACGAGAAGTTGCCGAGGAACCCAAGGTCGAAACAAATAAAGATGTGTTTGAGCCTAGTTACGATGATTTAAAATTAACAGTCTGAAAACACAATTACTTTTGCACCAACCTAATACTTTTTGATCTTGGCCTGAAATATTCAGAGTCCACCAAGACCCATAAAAAGATTCAAGATACAGGCGAGGTGATGGGGGACCTGAAGATGCTACTATGGAACAGGAAGTTACTGTATTCCACACTGTGCCAAAAACACAGCTTCCATAGGGTGGATCAAAAGTACACACCAGTTCCAGCAAAGACCTATATAGGCCCACAACGGGCGTGGGGTTTGCCTTTCCCAGCAACCCCTAAGTCTAGGGGATTAGAACAGCCCTATGGGTCCTATGCAGTAAAGGATTACCAAAGACCCCACCTGCAACCTGTAGGGAAAAGGAAGCCAGGAACCTCAAATGGCAGAGTCTGGGTCCTGGGGGGAGAGAGACCTTACCCAGGGAGGCCACATTCCCATAATTCTCCAGCATCACATCCCTGTACAGGGCCCTCTGTGCAGGGGATAGGCCATCCCATTCCGTCTGCGTGAAGTACACAGCCACGTCCTCGAAGGTCACCGACTTCTGAAACAACAGGTTCCTGCTGCCCTAGGGCCAATTCCATGGCTCAGGCCCTAAGTGAGGGGCAGAGGGCAGTATAAGGGTTTGGGAGGGAGCTCGTGAGAGCACAAAATTAATAACAAGGGACAGATTTGAGAAAAAGCACCAGGAAAGTAAACCACAGAATACCCGACTTCTCCCACAACAGAGAAACCTCATAGCATTTTTAATACTTATAAAAGGTAACGTAAGATGAGCTGAAAGAAAAAAATTTTTCCATAAGCAAAATCTTCTAAAGCAACCCTGCTCTTTTGATTAGGCCACTCCCTCACTAGCAGAGTCAGGACGCATCTACCAGCAGTCCCCATGTCACCCCTTGAGGTCCAGGCTCCCCTGTGCCTGACCTCAGCCCCATTCCACTCCCCATACCTCACCCTCATCCTTACACCTCAAGCCCCCTGCTAAGAACAGTCATGGCTTCTGTCTCAGCCAGCCCCCATCAGCCACCTGGTATCCATCACAGACCCACCACCAAGGGGCTGCACAGCCTGTTTGATCACCTCCAGCCAAGGGACTCAGTGCTGCCCAGGCTGGGGGGGGGGGGTTTCCCTGAAAACCCGGGCTTTTCTGTTACTCTCTCCCAGTCAAGCCTCATCCTTTCCACCTGTTCCCAAGACTTACTGATTTTCCAAGAAGGCTTGGGAAAGAAGGGAGACCAGCCTTCCCAATGGCGGGCCACTCTGCCATCCTTTTGGCTTCTCTTCTTTGTGTCACTAAGCTTTGAGGTCAGCACAAGCCCTGCCACTCAGGGTTGATGCTGCATGTCACTCCAAGGCCCAACCCCTCCTCTGGCTGGCTGGCCTCTGCCCACTCCAGCCTTCCATGAAGACCCAGGAGAATCACTGGCAGGGATCTGTCTCTCAACTCTTTTCTGCCAGGACTTGCTTTCCTTGATGCTACTGATCTCCACCCGTCAACAATTCTGTTCCAACCTCTATTTGTTTCTGTCCTCTTTGTGTGACCTTAGACAGGTCAAGTACTTCTCTGAACAAAATTAAATGCCTTCACTGTGTGCCAACACCCTTTTCCCCAGTAAGCTGGCACTTGCTCCTGAACCTGCACCTCAGCGGATATCAGCACCATCCTCGCAGAAAACCTCAGTTAGAAACCTGGGGCTTTACAGATGTAGAAACTGAGGCTGAAAAAAGAAAAATAAAAAATAAAAAAAAAAAAAAAAAAAAAAAAAAAAAAAAAAAAGAAACCTGGGGCTCATTCTTGACTTCCCCTGATCCTTATCCTTAGCCCTAATCCTTGACTCTCTTTGTCCTGAAGACTTTTGTCTTAAGCATTACTGGAACTGGCTCCCTCCTCTTCAACAGCTACTTTCCTTGATGAAGCCCATATCACCTGGACCGGCAGGATTCATTCTCAAGTGCTCACCTTGCTTTTGAATCTTCCCCTAAAAATTATTCCATACACATTGCAAATCTAACCAACTTAACATCACTGATTTCACAGTTGTCTTATGGTCAAGCAGTTACAAATCTCATGATAACTTTGTGACCTTGAGCAGGTTACTCTCCTCCCCTTTGCCTTCCTTTGTTTTTGGTAGGAAGAGTACAATGCAGCACCTATCAAAGAGGGCGGCTGTCAGGACTGAATGATCATACAAAGGGGTTTGCAGCATAGGAAGCCTCAAACGGTGCCTCTGTGACTATATTATTCCCAACCCGTAGCCCATGGAGGTCCATGGATGAGCTTCAGGTGGTCCATAAAGTCCCTGAAAGTGTATGGAAATTTTGGGTTGCAGGTTTATTTTCTGGGGGAGAGGATGGAGAGCTCTTATCACAGACCTAAAGTCTGAGCCACTGCACCCCAATCCCTGAAAGCCTCACAAGGACAATGAGATACTCTGTCCCACAGGATTCCTTGTCTGTCCCTTTTCTTGACTCCACTTACTGTCATCTTCCCCCTGCCCTGAATTAGAAGCATAGCCATCCCTCTGTTTGATCTGGTCCTGCTACTCAACTCTCCTACACCCATACCACTGAGACTCCCAGACCCCTGCAGTTCTCTTCCATTCAGATCTATGCACAGGGCATCCTACACGGGCAGTTTCCATGTCCCCAGTGCCCTGGAGCCCTGTGCTAGGAGACCACCTGCTGCCTCCTACTCAGCACCACCCTGGTCTCTGCCACCCTGCCTTCATGCCACCTCCTTCCCGAAAGTTCCAGTCCACCAGGAGGATGCAGCTTTCATCTCACGGCTCATCTCAAGGCTCACCAGTCCCCCTTCTAATGTCTCAATCAGAAACTGCCCAGAGCAAGAGCTGAAGGACCCACAGCTCACCTGGGACCAGGCTGTCAGGAGCATGGCTGCCATCACCTGGTCTCCCCTTCAGAGCAGGGCTGGAGCTGAGCAGAAACAGAGAGGGACAAGTGTGAGTCAAGCCACCCCTACCAGGAGCAGCACAGAGCCTCCCAGAAGATGTGAGATACAGACAGCCTGCATCCAAGCAGGAGTGGGAACAAGAGCTGCCACAGGAAGAACAGGGTGATCTGTTCACTGGCTCGGTGCCTAGAAGTGGCATAGAATATGAAAAAAAATTATGCAGGTTTATATGGCTTTACTCATTAAGAAACATACATCTGCATTATAAATGTATAGAAAATCAGAAGATAGACACAAAACGATGATAAAATCATTGCATGGTAGTAGGATATGATTTTTTTAAGTTTTAATATTCTATTTTTATTATTTAAAATTTATAGAATGAGTAGTAATATTACTTTTGCAATTGGAAAAGAAGAAATTTTACATTTTCCTAAAATATCCACTTCTTCCAGGATTTCAACTTTACTGGTAAAGAGCTGTAGAAAACACTGGTTCACGATTCTTTTCATTTCTTCCCTACCTGGAGCTAATTTGCTGTTCCCACTTCTCTTTTGCATATATGCACTTTCCAGACCTTTTCCCCGGGGTCAGTGTTATGGACTAAATGTTTATGTAACCCCGAAATTCATATATTCAAGTTCTGACCCCCCATTTGACTGCATTTGGAGATAGGGCCTGTGAGTAGGTAATAAAGTTAAATGAGGTCCGAAGGGTGACAGGCCCTAAACCAACAGGGCTGGTGCCTTTGTAAGAAGAGGAAGAGACGCCAGAAGCCACGTTCACAGTCACTCGCTCTGCCACTCTTTGCCCTGTGAGGACAAAATGAGAAGGCTGCCATCTGTAAGCCAAGAAGATAGCCCTGGCAGGAACCGAAATCAGCAGCACCTTGACCTTGGACTCCAGTCTTCAGAACTGTGAAAAATAAATACCTTCTCTTTAAGCCACCCAGTCTATAGTATCTGTCATGGGCTGCCAATAAATCTCAAGTAGACTAATATACTTAGGCTGAGTGATACTTTATTTATTAACATTTTAATGTGGTTTTCTTTTATTTCTAAAGAACCAGCTTTTCTATTTCTTAAGCAATACCACTCTCTTCTATTTGTTTTTAATTCACCAATTCTGCTTTATTAGTTTGTTCCTTTAGATTTGTAAGGGACAGTTTAAGCACCACTCTAAATCCTCTTGTCCCATCCTCAGTCCAATTTTAAGGAGGCTTTGATCAGTTCTGGGCAGCTTCAACTTACCAATGTCTCTGCAAAAACCTACACCACATACGCCTGGTTCCTGCCCTGGGCCTTCTCTGGTGTCCCATGTGGGACACCTGTAGACACCTGCTGGGCCCTGAAATGCAGGGGAGTTAACACCTGCAGGACCACCTTCAACCAATAGGAGACAGAAGCCAAGGCATAAATGTTAAATGTTCTCCCCAACTCCCACCGTTAGTCCCCCAGGTGGGCAGCCTTGAGACTCCAAGGCTCCTCAAAAAGAACCTGCAAGACAGAGCCTGTTGAGGACTGAGCCAAACAACACGTCCTTGTACTGGTCCTCCCTCCTTCTCTGTTTCACTCCCCTTGTCTTTCATGCTGCTCCTGTAACCACATTCCTAAGTAAATTCCTATGCACAAATCTTTGTTCCATGTTCTGCTTTTGGGGGAAGCTACACTGCAAAAGGTTTTTTCCTATCTTCTTGAAGTTGCATGATTTATTCATTTATTTTCATCCTTTCCCTTGGCAGTTAAAGCTTGTAGGGCCATAAATTTTCCTCTGAATATGCTATTAGACACATTCCAGGCATTTTTATATTTCATTTCATTTAAGTAGTGTTATAAGATTATTCTTTTTTTTTTTTTTGGAGACAGGGTCTCACTCTGTTGTCCAGGCTAGAGTGCAGCAGCGTCATCATAGCTCACTGCAACCTCAAATTCCTGTGTTCAAGCCATGCTCCTACCTCAGCTTCTTGAGTAGCTTAGGACTACAGACTCAGGACACCAAACCTGGCTGATTTTAATTACTATTTTATAGCCAGTCAGCAACTCTGTTTTGTCTCTGATAGAACACTGTTTAGGACAGTTTGTTGGTGCTAATTTTTTCTCTATTGATAAGTTCTGGATTTAGTGCATGATGTTTAAATAACCTAATGTATTAACTTCTACTTTACAGATTTTTTTCAGGTTGCTTTGTGGCTAAGTATCTATTTAAAAAAATATTATGTGGTGTTTACACAGAAAACTTGTTCTATGATGACAGAGTATATAATTCTACTCTAATCTAATAAATCAATTCTACAAATTACACTATAAAGATTTTCTACATAATCCTTCATTATTTTTACCTAATCAAACCAAGACAGCCAGTGAAGAGCTAACACTCACAAAACACTGAGCCCAAGTATGTCATGAGATAGTCCTTTCAATTCTTTAAGAAATGAATAATTTTAGGGGTGGGCGTGGTAGCTTACATCTGTAATTCCAGCACTTTCAGAGGCCAAACAGGGAGGACTGCTTGAAGCTAGGAGTTTGAGACCAGCCTCAGCAGCACAGAGAGATCCCATCTCTACAAAAAAATAGCAAAATTAGCCAGGTGTGGTGTCCTGAGTCTGTAGTCCTAAGCTACTCAAGAAGCTGAGGTAGGAGTATGGCTTGAACCCAGGAGTTTGAGGTTGCAGTGAGCTAAGACGACGCCACTGCACTCTAGCCTCAACAACAGAGTGAGACCCTGTCTCCAAAAAAAAAAAAAAGAAGAATCCTATAACACTAATTGTAGCACAGCACAGCAAAATAAGTTTCCCAATTCTTTTTATGATGCCAGCACAATACTAATACAAAAACCATAGACCAGTCTCATTTATGAATAGTGATGCAAAAATTCTAAATATTAAGGAATAGACCAATAGTTCATTAAAGTAATGTATCGTGACTAAGTAGATCATCCCATGAATGCAAGTAAAGTTCAATATTAGGATACAAATTAGTATCTTTTCCACACTAACAAATCAAAGAAAGATAAACATATTATGCAACTCAACAGATATCAAAGGTGTGTGAAATAATTCAACATTCATAGCTAATTTTAAACACTCACACTGAGCGTAGTGGCAGTGGCTCATTCCTGTAATCCCAGCACTTTGGGAGTCCAAGGCAGGAGGACTGCTTGAGCCCAGGAGTTTTAGACCAGGCTGGGGAACACTGCGAGACCCCGTCTCTACAAAAACTAACTAAATAAACACACCTGAGAGAAACTCTCATATATAGGAGATATGTGAAAAAATAATTCATTATCAGCTGTATTTAAATAGCAAAAAACTAGAAACAACCCACAGATCCATTGAGAATACATCAATAAATTTTTATAGTTTTTACAATGGAACATTACCTAGCAACTACACACAACATGAATGAATTTAGGAACATCATATGGAATTATGTGAATCCAGATTACTAAACACAATGATGCCATGTATATGAAGCTCGAAAACCAAAAAGTTAAACGTTGTTTACAGATATATGCGTATTTCATAAAAATCCCTTTAAAAAATAGTAAGGCTACGATTAACACCAAATTCAAGATAGCAGTTACCTTTAGAGGTGGGAGGCTGGGAGTTGGGTTGAGGAGAAATACAGTACTAGCAATGTTCTCTTCCTTAATTGGGTGGTGTGTTCACGGGTGCTCATTTTAATATATATATAAACATATAAACATATATATTTGATACACACACAAACACACCAACCAGGAGTGAAGGTGAGGACCCAAAATCGAATACTAACAAGAGGAAAGGAGCCTCACTATACTACAACTGAATAACATAACCACACTGAAGTGGTGGGAAGGAAAAGAACCAAGTAATTTTGGAAACCAGTATTTTGACTGAACACTATACGGTTAAAGACAAAAGGACTTGTATTTGAATACTGTACTCTAGGTAGTAAATTTGTTTTGCAAGGGGTTGAATTAGCAATGCTTAAACAATTTCACGTATATTCAAGAACTATGCAAATTTATAATTACACTGCAGATGTCATTTCCAAGTAGTTGTCACTCTACAGCCGAAGAGGAGTAGGACCGAGTTACCTTTTGGGACTGGCAACACAGTAGGAGCCAGGCTTCTTCTGCTCCTGGCAGGGGATCTGCTTTTTCTGCGCTCCCAGTCGGTCCTGATTCATGACCCTATGTCACCAGCCTGGGAGCACACACAGTCCAAACCTGAGTTGCAAGACCTCAGTGTGTCAAAAAACTTGTGGTATCACCTCGGGCTGCTTCACTCCCACAAATCTTCACCCCCCTGGCGGCACCGACACATCTTCCCCGAACAGATTAAGTACTAAATACCGGGGGCTTCGTGGCTCTGACAGCAACACAGGCTTTGCTTTCCACTGTACGGAATGTATATTCGGACTCTAAGACCAAAGCGGGAGTCGAGGAGGGCAGAAGACCCCGGGCCGCCGCCGTGCTCCCTTCCCCCAGCCCGGGCCTCCCGGCAGCGCTGTCCGCGGGAGACTCAACGCCACCCAGATGCAGGCGCTCCCCAACTGCGTTCAGAGCCTTGGGGCCCGGGCACCGCCCACGAGGCCCACAGTCCGGCACTCACCTTCGCAGCCCGCGGCTTCGCGGCGCTGACGGAAGTGCGTCACCAGGCAGCGTCCGAGCCTTTCTAGGAGCAGGGGCGCCCCCTCTCTATGGTGCTCTCGCCCGCCCGCTGCGGCTGCAGACCTGTACTTCAGAGTTTTGCTCCCCTTGTCCTTCTCCCTCTGGTCTGACCCGTGAGGGTCGTTACTCCTCCGGGGGTTGGGGCAGGCAAGAATCAGCGTTGAGCGCGGGGCTCAGCCCGGGGAGAAGCGCCAAGAATCTGAGTCTTGGTAAAGCTGCAGGTGCAACTATGTTTGGGAGTCTCCGGACTGGACCGGTGGTTCACACGCTGCCAAGACCCAGATCTAGTGCCCCTTCCTTTAGTTCTTTATCTTTTTCGAGACAGAGTCTCACTATGTCACCCCGGGCCGGAGGGCAGTGACACGATCATAGCTCACTGCAACCTCAAACTCCTAGTCTCAAGCGATCCTCCTGCCTCAGCCTCCCAAGTAGCTGGACTACAGATGCGCACCACGCCCGGCTCCAGTGCCCCCTTTTTCTAGCAAATATTCTGTAATGTCCACTTAATTCTCCTGACCTGAAACTCATAAATAATGGCCTAGAAAATGATAATATAAAGAATCTACATTTTAAAAATTAATGTTATGCCTTAAGTGTAATGAAGGAGAAATAAAAGGAACATAATTTTTAATTAAAAAACACATACTTCAATATGCCAATGTTTGGCCATGACTGCTGTAGGAGACCTAATGAAATGGTCTGATATTAGTCTTTACACACAAAATTTGCCTGAATTGCCACAGCCACAAGCTGTGTCTTATATTGGTGTTTCAAAAATCACAAGTATGATCCAGAATGGTAAACACTTTTTGATGAAGTTCTGAATGAAACACAGGACATTGTATTGATTATACAGTGGATATATTCTTGGAACATCAGTGTACATTAAAACTGTGCAAAAAATACATTGTGTTTATCTACATCAGTTAGCTGCTAGGTTCAAGTAATTTACAAATACGGTTTTCATTTACACGAATGTCCTGCAAGACATTTGAAAGTCTGAAAATGTTTTAGATCCTGTGCCTGCAGGACTTGTGGCACTCGAGTGGCTCCCATCCCTAATGCTAGTAGCAATGCCACCACCACCACCACCACCAAATGTTAACTAAATACCTCCCATGATTTCCAAAATTAGCCCTGGTGGGAGACAGTACTAAACACCACCGGATTGTACCACCCTTACATTCCCACCCTCAATCCTGATGGTGTAGCCCTTTCTTCCTTCCAGCTCCCATCCCTCCAATGCTGCTGCACTGGAAGGTGGTGGTTGGCCTAACTCACCTCTGCAAGCTCTTATCACTCCCATTCTTTCCCCCTCCCAACTTCATCCCCACTTGCTGAACATGCTGTTCTCTAAACCTAGAATGCCCTCCCCTTCCTCTTCTTACCCTCCATCTTAACTGTTACCGGAAGCATCAGCTCAAATCCTATTTCCCATGAGAAGCTTATGGTTTCCCCTGACCACCCAGAATAAGGCAGGTCCCCCATTTATGTGCCATCACAGTATTTCTCAGGACTTGGAACATCTGTACCTAATTAATGGTGATATTTTATTTAAATATCTAGGTCTTCTCTGGTAGCTCCAGAGAGCAGGGACTATTAATATATCTACCTTGTTCAACACTGTTATCCTCAGCTAGAGCACAAAGGAGGAGCAATAAACGTCTGTTGTTGGCATGGTCCAAAGGCTCCAGCCCCAACTCCTAGGTAGAACCCTACTTTACTTTTGTGCCACTGAGCATAGGATATGTCTTATCCCTGGGATCGTGGCATTTACCATGGCCAGAAGCCCTTCTCTGCCTTGCCCTGACTCTGATCCTCACTGATTTCCAAAATGAACACTTTATGTGGCTTCTTTCATTTGAAACAAAAAATGGTCCCTGTGATTGGGCAGAGTGGGATTACACTGCTCTAGGCCATAAGTGCTACTTTTCACTTCTTCCTAGACTCAGATATCAGACTTCTAGGCAGGAGTGAGGGCTTATTGAAAGAAATAGGAAGGAATTAGGAGATAACACCATCAAATAAATGGGGGCCCCCGTTAGATCATAAATTACTTAATTTTACAGATAAGAAAATAAAGCCCCTTTAAAAAAAAAAGAAAACAAAAACCCACAAAACTTCGAGTCCTACTGCTATCCAAGGTGCTAGCTCTACCTTATTCGGGTGTTCCTGGAGCTCTCCAAGGTCCTGGCTCAGGCTTCAGAACCCTTGTTCTCCAACCTGATGCTGGTCCCTCTGATTGTATTTTAAGCCTGATCTCCAGATATCTGTCTCATCCTCTGTCTTCCTTTGAACTCAGTTGGCCAGAACCTGACACATCTCACCTAGCCACCCCGTTCCCGCTCCTCTCTGCCTATCACCCTGCCTCACACTCCAGAGAATTCCAAGGATGAGAATTTCTTGTGGACACAAATGGCCAAGAGAGGCTCTTCTGGAAAGCTTTCTTGCATCTTAAAGATTTCTATAAACATGAGTTATTGGCTTTGAAAATTTAAAAAGACAGACTAGATATTGTTCTTGTTGGTAACAATACATTACTTCAACAGAATTTAAGCATAATGAGAGTGTAATAAGATTGGAAACTTCATTATGTTCCAATTGCTTTATTTAACATTAAATCCCCCGAATTACCTTGCATGCAGGTGTTCTGAGCTATGAAAGCATCTGTCATCTGAATTCAACTTTACTATTAGACACATTTGTGTTTATTATGTTTTTTCTCACCTCATCCTGAGAAAGGTGCATCCTGATATTATATCTATTTTATAGATAATGAAAAATAAAGCTTATAGGTTACAGCCTTTGTAAACCATAGAACATAGTGGAGTAGACACACTTTAAAATAAATCAGCACCTGGATAAATACACCATGGTAAACTTTCATTCATGTGATAAAGACAAAAAGCAAGGTGTTTAGGACCACTTAAGGAACAATTGTGGTAGTCTAGGAAACACTGGTGGCTCAGACCAGGCATAAAAACTAATACAGTAATCATAACTGATTCAAGGACAGTTACTCATTTGGAGGGGGCTTCCTGACAGTGGTCCTGGGGTGAGGGTGCTAACTACTCAATAGTGAATGCCAGAAAAAAGAAAACCAACCTCACTCAGCTGTCCCATCTCAAAGCTGAAAAACCTCAGAGGAGCCAGCTCACTGACTCAGGTATTTGATATGAAGACACCCATTTTCAGATGGTGTTGAGAGGAATACATGTTTAACTCCCCAAAGCTACACAGCCGCAAGGGTAGGGCAACCTAAGAACTGGACTCTCTGCCTCATCTATAGATGTACGCTACCTCCCCCACAACAGCTATACTGGGACACTGTACGAGACAGATTTTACTATTCTAGGTCAACTTATGCTTCCCCTTACAATGCCAAGCCCCCATCTACCTCTGTGAAGCTGAGCAGTCCCTGTCTTGACTTGTTCCTGATCTCTCCTCCACCCCTAAGGAGCATATCAGTTTCCCACAACCACCCTGCTTCTGTTGCCAAGGCACAGACTTTATATCCAACCTCTACAGGGCAGCCTATGTATTGGTTAGAACATGAGATCTGGACCCAGGCTGCCTGCGTGTGAATCCCTACTCCACTATTTACCGTGCCCTTGGGCAACCTAATTAATCAGTTTCCTCAACTGTAACATGGAGCTAAGTACACCCCCTTCTTCATTTACTGTACTCAGTAAATGTGTGTAGTGATTAGTGTAATGTGTAGTGAAAGTGTCTGACATATGATAATTGCCCCCCAAAAAATTACTGCTGTTATAATTTACTAGAGGGCAGTTGTAGCTGATGCAACATGTGAAACTAACAGTTCCTTGCCCAGTTACCTTAACCAGTTTCTTTTCTGGGTGACTTTTCGATTTTCTGCCCTTAAAATGATACCCCTAGAAATAGCCCAAATGCTCACCAACAATAAGCAACTTACGTAGTGGAATACTACATGTGTCACTAGCAGTGATAATGAATCTATACTGAGGATACCATTACAGTACAAGAACAGGCAAAATTATTTACGGTGACAGAAGTCATAATAGGTTATGATGAGAGAGAGGTAACGACTGGAATATGGTACACGGAGATCTGAGGTGCTGGTATGTTCTTTTTCTTGATCTTGGCAATTGTAAGACTATGTTCTTTCTAAAAATTCATGTTGTACAACTATGACTCATGCATTTTTTCCATACACTTCAATTAAATAACATCTACTTCAGTGATTACCCCAGTTGGTCAGTACAACTGCTCATCCAACTGTTGGCAAGGAAAAGGTAGTGAAGCCCCCCAAGTGCTACACTCTGAGGGCAGGTAGTCTGGAATTGGGTAGGGTGACTCCAACAGTGGCTGATGGCAGAAAGACACATGGGAAAAGAGGGTGCAGATTATTTTCATCACCTAAAGGGCCAGCTCTTTGTTTCCCTACCAAGATGTCTCTGCAGTGTGCCTTTTGTTGGCCCACTAACCAGATCGAAGAGCAGAGTGGGCATGTTATTCTAGGCATTAAGCTGGCAAATATTAATATCAACATTAATACATACAACACCCTGGCATTTGCCAGCTTAATGCCTAGAATAGCATCCATTCAAAATAAAAACAGTATAAATAGAAAATGAAAGCTTTAAGAGTGAAAGCTTTCAGTTTCATAGGTAAGACTTTTCTTGAGAATGGATTCACTGACACAGTTTTGTATTGACAAATACAAATTTGTTGTTCTAGAAAATTTTTTTCTAGCAAATTTTCTGTTCTAGCCCTTAAGCTAGAAAAATTTCTATTCTCTGGTGGTGTCCTGATGTAGCCTGCGCTCTCCAGTGTTGCAATGTGTTTCCCAATCTCATTGCAATCATGGGCTTTGGGAGGTACCATGGCTATAGCTAAAGACTTTGCCACATATGCACACAAGACATTTCTCCATCATCAGGAATGTTATCCCTGAAGACTTTTCAAATAACTGTTATACCAATAATGCTCTGTATAAGTCAAAATGTCGTTCCAAGGGAAGAAAACCTAATTCAAACTTGCCCAGGGAAAAAACAAAACAAAAAAAGTGGAATTTATTGGCTACTGAAATCCAAAAACCCACATGTATTTCTAGCTTCAGACATGGTTTAATGTAGCTGCTCAAACAGTATCTTCAACATTTGATTGCTCTTCAACTCTCAGATATCTTTTACTGTGCTGACTTTATTCTCAGCCTCTGTGAAAATTTAGGAGGTCTTCTCAGCTTTAAAAACAATGAAACAAAAAAGAAAAAGAGTATTTCTTCCTATTAGCTCTTGTTCTTGCCAAGTCCTGGGACTCATACTGGACCACCTTGGGTCACCTACCGACATCTGAACCAGTGATTGTGGCAGAAGGGAAGGATCTGAGGTTGAGCCAGGTCTGTGTCACACATTCTACTTTTGAGTGGAAGATGGAATCTAAAAAGAAACTGAGTGCACTATTACCAGTAAAATGGAGTAAAGAATTCTGGCAGGCCAAAACGACCAATGTCCAGCATAGGCTTTTCTCCAGAGTAAAACTGCTCAAAATGACCTAGCTGGGAAGAAGTCCGAAAGGCTTTTGCGTACATGCTACACTCATAGGATTTCTCTCTAGTATGGATTCTTTGATGCTGAAGAAGATTTCTTTTGCTAGTGAAGACTTTTCCACACTCACCACATATATAGGAAGACTCTGGAATATGAACTCTTAGATGCCTTTTTAATTGTACTTGAGTACGGAAGGCTTTTCCACAATCTACACAGTCAAATGGTTTCTCCTCACTGTGAATCTTCTGGTGCCGAGTTAGTTTTGTATGGAAATTGAAGGCATGTCCACATACTTTACAAGAATAAGGCTTTTCCCCTGTGTGAATACGCTGATGTTGGCTAAGATGGGAAGTCCTTCCGAAGCTTTTGCCACACTCATTACACTCATAGGGTTTCTCTCCAGTGTGGATTTTCTGATGCCGAATTAGTGGTGAATTACCAACAAACGCTTTTCCACACTCGTTACACTCATAAGGTCTCTCCCCAGTGTGGATTCTCTGATGTATAACAAACTCAGAACTACTGGTGAAATTGTTTCCACACTCTGCGCAGTGATAGGGTCTGTCCCCACTGTGGATTCTCTGATGCCTGATCAGATTTGCATTGTCATTAAAGGCTCTCCCACACTCCACACACTGATAGGGTTTCTCTCCAGTGTGGATCCTCTGGTGCCGAATTAATGAAGAATTGCCATTAAAGCATTTCCCACACTCATTACATTCGAAGGGTTTCTCCCCAGTGTGAACTCTCTGGTGTCTAACATAGTAAGAAAAATAGCTGAAGCATTTTCCACATTCCTCACATCTGTAAGGTTTCCTTGCACAGTGGATTCTTGGAACCTTTCCTCGAGCATTTTTCACTGCGGGGATTTTCTGGCGCTTCTCCACTTCACATGTTTCTGGGAAGTCAGTTCTCTTGGGGAGACTCTTCTTCAGTCCACATGACATCAACATGTCTCTTTCTTCAGAAACTCCTTGTGGTGATGTGGACTCACTGTCAATGTTGGTCTCAGCACCTGACATAAGAAATAGAAAACACAAATGCCACAGAATTATACTACAAACAACAGAGCATCAAAAATTAGGTGGCTCTGAAAGACATCATTCCAATCTCCATGTGAGCCTGCTGAGAAGATGAAGCTGTTAATATATATCACATACGCAGAGCATAGCCAAGGTGGAACACAGCATCTGTCCGCACAGCACATATCAGATTGCTTCATAAGATCTTCCACTCTAATATCTGAAAGCCTCTGGTCACCCCTAGTATGATCTAGTATCTTTTGAATTTATGGTACTTACAGGCCTACAAGATGCCAAAGACAACACAGGCTTTAAGAAAAAGTAGTGACACTGCGGCTGGCAAGACTCAAAATCAGGAAGTAAAACAGTCAGAAAGTAAAGGCAATGGATGAACTGTTGTTCTTTTTAAAAACTCATACCCTGCAGATGTCCCAAAAGATTGAAGACAATGAGCATTAAGGGCACTAGGTTGTGACAAAACAGAGAGAAAGAAAGTCACAGCAGCATATAGAGGACATCACTGCCAATATACTACATGATTACTTAGTCCAGAGGTTCTTTTTTTTTTTTTTCTTTTTCTTTTTTCTTCTACAGAGCCTGTATTCCAGTAGTCCAGAGGTTCTTAACTGCAGTATACAGATAGACTACAATTAAGGAGACAGGGAAATACCCTAAAATTGTTGACAACTGCCACATCTTGCCATCACATTCTCAAAGTCTGAACCTCAAACATGCAGAGAAACTACTGTCCTAGACGCTCTGCCTATTTGGACAGGGAAGAACCTGTTTACTTAGACACTCCAAGTGTGAAGAGTATTCTATCTTATATTAGCAAAAAGGAGACAAACAGCAGCCCATATAATGGATTTTGTGTTCCTAAAGATTGGATGACACTTGAACTAACTTAAACATTTTATATAAAATCCATTTTATATATAATGTTGGACTAACTTTGTTTTAACATTATTTGGATTATCTGGGACTCGTGTGCTGGTTAATCAAGTTCATCCTATGCATGTGAGTTAAATGAGCAAGGGCTCTCAGAAGGAGAGTGCTGGGAGAGGAGAGATCTGAGACTAAATAAACACAGTAACCAGTCTGAAAAAGAATGATCACAGAATTGAGAACCTGTTGGGCTGTTCTCATACCCCTTCTCTCTCTAGCTACTAGGCTGTGCAAATATCATACAATCAGGACCAAGGAATAGATAACTCCAAAACTCTATTTTCCTTGCTGTCCCGTACTCTTGTCATTCATCTTGATCAGTATCCTTGCAGCAGGTTGTCCAAGCAACCACCCTTCCCTATACCCCAGATGAGCCCCCACCTTCCTAGTTCTCCAGTCACTGTCACCTCCTTCCTGCTGAAAAAAAAACTAAGGCTGCCCAGGTGCAGTGCCCTGGACTTCTTTCTCTTCGATTTCCACATCCTCCCATCCCAAACTGCCCTCTTAACTCTCACATTTCCCCAACACCCCTGACGCCACCTCCTGCCACGTACTCTGACATACCACCCTAGCAGCTATATCTTCTCTTTTCTTCATCTTCAGGCTCCTTTAGATCTTCAAATCCACTTGAGCTTAGTGATCACCCCATCATATTCAATTTTTCTTAGTACCTAGCCCTTAGTCATAAAACTGATAGAGTATGCTACTATTGCTTTAAAAAAATTTTTTTAATGAAATATGCTAACCTACATTAGAAGAGAACAGAATAAAACAGAAAATATTCACACACACTGCAACAGTAAAGGTAAATTCTGTTTCTGGATACTCGTTTCAGAGTACATATGACTGCACAGGGTTTTGCTGCAAAACATAATGCCTACTCAGGGTTAAAAAATTGAAAAAAAATTTGCTGCTGTGTCTACTGTATTTTCTTTCATTCCGAAACTTACCAAAATAAGAGGCTAAAGTGCTGCCCCAACGATGTCATCTTTCATTTTCTTGCTCTCTGCAAACCAACTGCACTGAAACTCCTGCCTCTGCCTGTGGTTTCACTGTTCACTCTCGGTGGTGCTCCTCTGACTATTTTCTTTTCTCTTTCTCACTGAAATTAAATACCCCTTAATATTAAAGATTCAGCTCTGTTTTTGTTTTTGTTTTTTAATCTCTGGGGATCATTTCAACCCGACTCTGGTAGAGTACTCTATCAGACCCGACCTTTATCTCGGACACTCTACCACTTGCCTTCTCAATGGCCTGCTCCAGCCATCCACTCACCTCACACCTTGCAGCCGGCTCTACATTCGTATGAATGATAAAATCTTCTCCCATGTCATGACTTCCCAGTGTTATCTGACTCAAATCACCTCTTTTATGGCCAATCTTGGTAAGATCTGGTCAATTTTAACTCCACACTCTTCTTCCCATTCCCAACAGCACTCAATACGTTTTTCCTTTTAGCTTTTTATATCTATCTCCATAACTTATATCCTCCAGAGCTTCTTAAACAAAGCTTGGCACACAGTAAATGCTCAAAACTGCTCTTGAATAAATCTATGCCATCCAAGGAAGGAGGACCACTGAAGTAAGCAATGTTGAAACTCACAAAGGAGCAATGGATTGAAGAATTGTAGATGAGATGTACTGAGTGGTTACATGTTCATAAGAGTTAAGATTGATGGGAAAGTTTCATATTTTACCTATTAAGAGAAATCATCCATTATATTTAAATCCTGCCCAGTATGGTTCTTTTTAAAATACAATGCTCCAGGGCCAGGCATGGTGGCTCATGCCTGTAATCCAGCACTTTTGGAGGCCAAGGCGAGAGGATCACTTGAGACCAGGAGTTCGAGACCAGCCTGGGCAACGCAGTTAGAACCCCATCTCTACAAAACATTTAAAAATTAGCCACGCGTGGTGGCTCACGCCTACAGTCCTGGCTACTTGGGAAGCTGAGACAGGAGAATCATTAGAGCCCAGGAGTTTCATGTTGCAGTGAGCTATGATTACACCACTATACCCCATCCTGGGCAACAGGGCAAGACTCTGCCTCTGGAATAAAAAAAAAAAAAAAATACAATACAGTGCTCCATAAAACTCTACACTTATTGGTTCTAAACCTGACTCACTTACCTTTTTTTTTTTTTTTTTTGAGACAGTCTAACTCTGTTGCTGGGCTAGAGTGCCATGGTGTCAATCTAGCTCACAGCAACCTCAAACTTCTAGGCTTAAGCAATCCTTCTGCGTTGGTCTCCCAAGTATAGCTGGGACTACGGGCATGAGCCACACCATGCCCAGCTAATTTTTTTCCTATATATATTTTTAGTTCTCCAGCTAATTTCTTTCTATTTTTAGCAGAGACGGGGGTCTCACTCTTGCTCTGCTGGTGAACAAGGAGGAACAAGCAATCCTCCTATCTCAGCCTCCCAGAGTGCTAGGATTATATCACTTACCTTTACAGATGTCCCTGAGCCTCTCTGTATGGGGTTCACCCTGTGCCTCCAGGCCCCAAGGCAAATCCCCTCCCTCTAGAAATGAGATCAGTGTACATCTGGGAACTGGGTATCCTGAAAAGGGGAAGAAAATGGCAACCTTTCAGCCCTGTATCTGCTCTGTCAAAAGAAGGAAAACCCCAGGAGTCTCAGAAAGCGTAAGACCCGTAGAAGATGGCTCAGGACTAGGGAAGGCCAAAGAGCTTTTCATCAATAGGAAACTGAGCATTTGTGACCTCTTCCTAAAAAACCACTTAAGGGTAGGTAAGTTAGTGAGATTCTGCAAGCCATGTAAAAACACAGAAGGAAAACGACCTTACCCACAATCGCCAAGTTCTCATAATTCTCCAGCATCACACTTCTGTACAGGGCCCTCTGGGCACGAGAAAGGCCAGCCCATTCTGTCTCGGTGAAGTGCACAGCCACGTCCTCGAAGGTCACCACCTCCTAAAACAACAGGTTCCTGCTGCCCCAGAGCCAATTCTCTGGCTCCAGGCCAGAGTGTGGGGCAGAGGGGACAGTAATGAGGGCCTAAGGGAGGGTCCTGTGAGGGGTCAGTAATGAGAAAGGGGAAAGAACTGAATATTACATCATTACATAACTATTTCTACAACCAAAATTCTGGAACCTCTCTACCAGAAGAGCTTTCATTATAATACAAAACTTACCATAAAACATGATTTAATATTTTTGAAAACCCTGGAAAAAAGTCTCCCATTAGTTACACTACCTAGAGCAAAATTTCTTTGATTCCGCAAATACTTTCAGTCTTTCATTGTTGCACCTAAAAGTGGACAATTAGCTTCAAGTGGCCCTCAGGACCTGCTCCCACTCTGCTGCTGTAAGTCCCAGCCAATCCATCCTGTCTCACAAGTGCTCACTCTGCCCCGAATGTCACGCCCACACAATAACTGATTCGTAGTTTACCCTGATAAGCCTGTCTCATCCAACCCCCATCCGATGCTTGAATAAGGGGCTGTGTTACTTGTGCTCAAGAACGTCCAGCAGAGGGAACTCAGAGCCACCTGGAGCAGTCCATTCTGCTTCCTGACAGGTCTTCCTAGGAGAAGTTGCTTCTGACATCAAATTGTTGCTGCTGGGTGGCTCTTTTAGGGGCTTATCTTTTGTTTGAAACAGAATCTTGCTCTGTTGCCCAGGCTAAATGCAGTGGTGTCATCATAGCACACTGCAACCTCAAACTCCTGGGATTGAGCGATCCTCCTGCCTCAACCTCCCAAGTAGCTGGGACTACAGGTGTGCACCACCATTCCTGGCTAATTTTTCTATTTTTAGTAGAAACAGGGTCTTACTCCACTTGCTCAGGCTGGTCTCGAACTCCTGACCTCAAACAACCCTCCTGCTTCAGCCTCCCAAAGTGCTAGGATCACAGGCGTGAGCCAATGTGCTTTATACCTCCCAGACAATTGATAACAGGCCTCATGCTTTTTCAAAAGCCACTCCTTCCCCTCCCTGATGGCCCCAACTCTTCCTTCCCAGAAAGTTCTAGCATCTGGTTTAGAGCCTCTATTCACTCCTCAGACTTTCGTATCAAATTTGGTTACCTGAACCCTCAGTGAATATCTTCCCATCTTCCAATGAATCATCAGCCTCAGTGATTCCGCACATCTCCACTCACCCCTCATCCTGGCACTGCTTCAGCCTCTGGATGACCCAACACCAAACTCATCTTCCCCTAAACTGGCTCCCTTTCTAACTCATATAAACTAACTGGCACAGCGAGTGACAATTCCCACCTCCCAACCCCCCCTTCCCCGCCTCAGTTAATAATATCAATTTCAACCCAGTCTCCAATGCTACAAATTTGAGATTCATCTTAAGACTATCTCACCCCTGACACTGTTCACTTCTGACAGTCAGTAACCAAGTTCTGCCAATTTTATCATCTAAATATTTCTGGAATCTGACTCGTCTTCACCATGGTACAATCAGTACACTAGTTCAACAGCTGGGGACACTTAAACAGCTCCAATTCCAGGCTTGTCTCACATTGAATCCATCCTCTGCCCAGGTCAACTCCTAAATGAATCACCACTAAATGGAACAGTGGTTCTCAAAGTGTGGTCCCTGACCACCACCAGTAGCAGCAGCAGCACTAGGAACCCGTGAGAAAGGCAAATTCTCAGCACCCACCCTGAGAGCAATCTATGCTTTGATGAGCCCTCCAGGTGACTGTCATGCACACTAAAGTTTGAGAACCCTGGATTAGAAGATAAAATGCAAGCTCAGAAAACTGAGCTGTTTCAGGTGACAAGGAGAAAGTGATGTGAAAATGCACAAGAGAAACTATTAATATCTGGGAAGCTCTGCAAGCAAAATCCCAGAGAAGGAATAACAAACCTTAAATGGGGGTAATATAAGATTGGATGAGTGTAAAAGAAATAACAGAAACACCAAAACTTGTGGTGGACAGTGGTATCAAGGGAGAACAGAGTCAGCAATTACTCAGTAATCTAGAAACGGAATGATCAGGACTGTGATATAGTGATGTCAGAGACGTGTAGAAAAATCAGAAGAGGGTCAGAGCTAAAAGGAAGATGATGTAGCAGTGAGACAGTCAGGTAGAGAAATTTGACAGATGCTGATAAATCTGGGATTGGGACTTGGGATACAGTTCGTGGATGCTAAGTTACTAGATAAGTGTCAGAAAGAAAGAAATGATAAAGCAACACTCAGCAACTCATCAGTCTCAAAAAGTGAAATATATTCAAGAAATAAATTTCCCTGTCCCCAAAATACAAAGTACTTATATTCACTTTACAAATGAAGCCAATTAAGATGCAAAGAGGTCAAGGTCACCATGCCACTGAGGTTTAATGGAATCCCTAACCTCAGGTGCCCTGGCCTAATGTAGATTTTCCTATCACAGCCAACTACCTTGCACGGCCGGCAGTACTGACCTCAAGAAGGATATGCGTTCCCTGATTCTGAAGCCCAAACTTCTTTCTTTAGGAGGACAAATGGTAGAGACTCCCTTTTTCTTGTCTTCTTCCTGTCATCTCTCTGCCACCATTTTCTAAGAACCTTGTAACCTTGCTGATCTTGATTACTCTCACCCTTAAGAGTTCCTACATCACGAGCCTGAGTCCCTCATCCTCACAAATCCCTCTGTGGCTGAGAGCTACTGAACTTTGGGACCTTCTGACCCACAGAGATCCTCAGCACACAGGAGGCTGTACTTCTGCTTTCAGGACACACTCTCCTGTCTCCATTTTCACCAGCCCCGACATCTGGCTGCTTAGCTCCTCACCTTCTACTCTTTCCCCAGCACCAGGTCCTAGTGGAGGGAGTCCACAGTGGTCTTCCTACTGCTTTGGCTCTAAGACCTGCCAGTGTTACCTCCGTCACCTCCCATTTCCTTCAAATCACATCTCCGCAAAGCTGACATGAGGGATCCACAGCTCACCTGGTGTCGGGCTGTCAGGGGCATGGCTGCCATCACCTGGGCTCCCTCTTAGGAGGCAGTCGCTGAGGGAAAGAAACAAAGAGAACCGAAGTGAGCCCCATCCAGTAAAAGGGTCTCCCTTAAACCAACAAACCTTCGAATAACAGCAGCAGCAATCACTTACTAAATGCCCACTGGATAAGTGGTGTATAAAAATATATCCTCTTTTAATCCACACCATACCATGAGGTTTGTAACTCTGAGGAAACAGATTTTGAAAGGATAAGTAACTCATCCTAGGTCACCAAAGACTGTACTCATCAACATCAGGCAAAACAAAGAGTAAAACAAGCAAAAGACACCAAAAAACTTGCAGTAAAACCTAACAAGAGGAACCCCAGACCCTTTTTTAAAAAAACAAAATTTTACTGAGAAACATAAAAAGTTAAAAACTAGAAAGTATCATGTTTTTGGATGAAAAACACACATTCTCTTATTCAGTCCCCACAATGATCTTCTGAACCTTTTTTTTCCCAAATGAGAGAACAAGACTAAGAGAATAATCTTCTCTACCAAGATCACTCAGCTGGTGAATGAATGAACTTGGATTCCACACCAGATCTGCCAGACTCCAGAGGCCTTGCTTATAATAACTACACTATATTGCTTCCAGTTGTACCGAACAGGATTTCTTTTAGAACCTGGCAAAGTGATTTTAAGGTTAATATGGAAGAATAGATAAAAATATTCAAGATAATTCAGAAAAAGAATCTTAAGAGTTCCAATCAATGGTGTCCAGTTAAAAACAAACAAACAAAAATAAAGAATCTTAGAATAAATCTTCCTTTACTTGGACATGGGGGCAGACATCTTTTGTTCATTGTCCCAATCTAGGATCCTGTGATAATCAGAAACAGGTCAGCAAAGGACCTGAAAGGCCACCTCAACATGCCAAAACATTTGGGTTATTCCTTTATCATCCCCTACAGACACTTTGTATTCTTGTTAAACAGTGATGTTCTACAAGAAGCCTGCCATCTTCTCTAAGAGACTCAATACATGACTCAGTTTCCTGCAAGCCCCATCTTGCGCCACCTTCCTCCTTTCTCTTAGTTTAGCCATACTGGCTTTCTTTCAGTTTCCTCTACTATGCTAATTCAGGACCTCCACACTTGCTGTTTCTTCTGTATGAACTACTCTTCTCAACCTCAGAACCTTTGTAACTGATATTCTCTGTCTTCCACACACTCCAGTAACCTCCCCACTTTTCACCTTCAGATCATGATCTGTCTCTACAGACCAGGTCAAGTCCCGGTTACACGTTCCACTAGCACTCTATTCCTTTTCCTATATATCACTATCCCAGTCTGAGACTTATACACTGATTTGTGCTTTCTCCATTCAGCAAAATTTCTCACATACATATTTCATGACAGGCCATGTTTGAGACACAGGAGAGCAGTGGAGAGAGACAAAAAAAAGGCATGACCCCTTCCCACATCGAGCTTAGTCTAAATCAAAGACACACATTAATCAAAGATTCTCACAAATAACTTTCAGGTCACAACTGTGATTAGCGCTAGGTGAAAAACTATCCTAGATGGGAAGGCTTAAGAATATAAATTAGGTTAAAAATCAAACATTTACAAAAGTAACAGCATGTGCAAAAGTTTGTTCTGGAGGGAAGGATTAACAGGCCTGTAGTAGCATAGCCAAGGGGGGTGTGCTGCAAGATGATGCTTTAGAAGTCACTAGAGTCAAAGCCGCGCCTTGTGCACGTCCTTGCAATAGGTCATGAAGATGTGAACTGATCAGATCTAAAGAGACTTTTCCATTGGGCTGAAAGCTGCCGGAGGGCGGGCCCGCGCCCGCTCTCATTCCCAGCAGCACCTACAGCAGAATTGGCGTTTAGCCGCTCAGTAACTAGTTGTCGGCCAGATGAGCAGAAGGGCTTTCTGGCAGCGTCTCGTTCCACCCAGCAGCCCCCATTCACAGCCTCCATTTTCCAAAACGGTCGGGGCGAGGGCAACGAACGCGCCCGAGGGAGAGCGGGACTGACCCGCAAACTGCTTCCGCTGCCCGGACCCAGAGGCGCCACCTGACTCGCTCCACTGTGGCCTCAGGGATGAAGCTGACAGCCTTCTCTAGAGGTGAAAGCACCCCAGGGCGACAATCGCCAACACTCACCTCCCCAAAGGCGAAAAGCGTGGCGTGACCGGATGTGCGTCACTACGTCGGCCTAGCGGCCCAGCCGCGCGTGCTTCCTCTCTAGGATGCCAGAGCGCTCCTCTCAGTGGTTCTCCGGCTTTGGTCCCTGGAGCAGGGGTGTTTAAGCCATGATCCTCAGAGACCCTAAATGGAAAAGAAAGTATGTCATTTTCATAAAGTGTCTTTTGTTCTTTTGGGTAGATGCCCAGTATAAAAAACAATGGTGATATAGCACCTCTTGTATTTTCCTGGATAGAGCTGGAACCCATTCTACTAAGTGAGGTATCCCAAGAATGGAATAATAAGCACCACATGTACTCACCAGCAAATTGGTTTCACTGATCAACAACTAAATGGACATATAGAAATAACATTTATCAGGCATCGGGCAGGTGGGAGGGGGGAGGAAGGGACGGATATATACATACATAATGATTGCTATGCCCACCGTCTGGGGGATGGACACACTTGAAGCTCTGACCCGAGGGGGGAGGGGGCAAGGGAAATATACATAACCTTAACATTTGTATCCCCATAATATGCTGAAATAAAAAAATAAATAAAAATTTTTAAAAGTATGTTATTGTTTTCGCTAATCTCTAACTGAAAGCATTTCCTTCTATTGTGTTTGCACAATTGCTGTACCTGTGACTTTGTCACCAGTAGAAACCATATATTTTCATATATTACAGTTGATGCAGATCTCAAAATTTGGCTGCTTTCATCACTAATTTGAAATTATCATAGTTGTTATTGAGCCCACCTTTAGATCTTGTCATTTCATTTTATCACATTAGTAAGGATGCACTCATATTTCTGTATCACAAATTCCCCACCGAAAGACCCTAGCCAGGCCCAAAGGGTATATAAAAGGCCTCAGCCCCTTCAAACAGAGGCGATTTCTGGGGTCCCCCTCTCTTGGGGCCCCAGAACCTTGTCCAGGAGTGTATAATAAAGCCACATGGTTTGGCCCCCACTCTTTCTCTCTCTCTCTATCTTTTCTTTTTGCCACCACTGAAAAACCTTACAATTACCATGAAAATGGGGTAAAAATGCAGGGAGCCCAAAAGAACCAAGGTTCAGAACAGGCTTCTCTCTAGAGTGGGCATACTTATGATGGTGCAGCTGGGAGGACGTCCTAAAGGTTTTCACACACTTGCTGAACTCATAGACTTGCTCTCCACTGTGGATTCTCTGTTGCTGGCTTAATGTGGATTTCCCAGCAAAAGCTCTTCCACACTCGTTATACTCATAGGGTTTCTCCCCGGTGTGGATTCTTTTGTGTATAACCAACTTGGAACTACTGGGGAACCCATTTCCACACTCCTTGCAGAGATAGGGTCTGTCCCCACTGTGGATTCTCCGATGCCTGATCAGACTGGCACTATTATTAAGGGATCTATCACACTCCTCACACTGATAGGGTTTCTCTCCCGTGTGGATCCTCTGGTGCTGAATTAACGAAGAATTTCCATTAAAGGATTTCCCACATTCCTCACCTGGGTAGGGTTTCTCCCCAGTGTGGATTCTCTGGTGTCTAATGTAGTAAGAAAAAAAGCTGAAGCATCTCCCACATTCCTCACATCTGAAGGGTTTCCTTGCACAGTGGAGTCTCTCATCCTTTCCTTTACTATTTTTCACTGTGGGGATTTCCTGGAGCTTCTCCACTTCACATGTTTCTGGGAAGTCAGTTTCCTTAGAAATACTCCCTGGCAGCTCACATGACACCACCCTGTCCCTTTCTTCAGAAATCCCCTGTGTTGAGGTGGACTCACAGTCCACATTGGTCTCAGCATCTGACATAAGACAGAAAACACGAGTGCCACCAGAGAATTATACTAGAAACAAGACAGCACTGGAATTACAGTGCTTTAGAGATTACTGTTCCAACCTCCACATCAGCAGGCCAGAAACACAAAACTATTAAAATAGCAGTGCCAAATATCACAGAGGCAGAGAATGATAGAAGCCCAACCAGGAAACTAGATTTTGAACCCCAAGTCATTATACTTTCCCACACAGAAGATTGCTTCCTAAGCTTTTCCAGAACTATGGCCTTCATCTGCTCATTCATGCACTTAGTCCTCTGTGTGTGAAGTAGAGGAGTGGGTTTCTTCAGGAGGGGAATATTGGGAAACACAAGCAGGGAGCCAACTGAAATTGTGAGTAAACGAGGTAAATAAAAACCTGAAAAACAATGACCTAAACCATGAGGAGCTTGGAGGTCAATTCTCATATATCTTTCTCTTTTCTATTTGGCAAAAAGGAAGTGTCACAAAATCAGGATTAGGATACTAGATGATAAAGAAACTTTCATTTTCTTCACGGGCAGATCCAAAGTTTGCAACTAGTTCAGGATTTGCAATGTTATGTCCTAATTCATCTTAAACATTTGATTTTGGGTCTTTTCTAACGTAGCTTGAATCCTTTTTGCATATTTGGTTTCTTTAATAATGTAAGGTGATGTGGTCTCATACTAGGCAAAATTATCTTATTTGTTGGGGAAAGTTCTATGATCACTATTAGTGCTGTCATTGTTGAATCAGACCATATTCTGACATCAAGAGGGGAAAAATTAAGTCTTCAACTACTTGAAGAACTGACCCTGTCCTGAATATTAAATAGCACTCCTGAGCGGCAACTACATTTACATAGCACAATGGTGACATCTAGTGTCAGATGGATAAATTTCAGCTAGCTCTGCAATTTACCTGAAATTTAAGGGTAGAATCTTAGTGCCTCAGGATCCTCACCTCAATTTCCTGCAGGACCAAGATTTTCTTCTTCCAATTTATAATTTACCTTTTAATTTCCTTAATAACTGATCTTTAATTATTTACATTATTGAGAGAAAATTAATGTACAATAGACTGGACATTTTTATAGCATACAATTTGATGAGTTTTGACCAGCAGACAATTAAATAGACAAAAACCCTTATCCTCATAGAGCTTACATTCTTAATGGCCAAAATTATGTCACATGGCTACTCCTGACAGCAGAGGAATCTTGAAGGCAAGTTTTTACTTTCTTGCTTCTATAGTAGGAAAAGGATGAGAAGGGTGTTGTGTGAGCCAACCTACAATTCCTGCCACAATGAGACAGAGAGGTACATACTCAAAATGTGTGAATCATTATGTATAACATTTAGATTTAAAATATGTTTCAGAAGTTTGGCATTCTTGTTCTTTAAGTCAACCCTATTTTTTATTATTACTATTATTGTAATATTATTAACTTACATGTCTTCTTATTGCTGACATGTAAATAGATCTACCACAGGACCTTAGTCCACAGGCAACCTCAGCCAATCATAGATATTACCTTGCCACCAATAATGTAACCCTGTGGTCTTCTAGTGGTATTTAGACCTTTCATTAGCTAAGGTCTCTTGTTCGCCTTAAAGGCTCTCTATAAGCTACTAGCTCAGCTGGCTTTGCTAGGGTCTCAAGTTGTTCATGGCCTCTTTGTTTTCCAAACTCTTCTGATGGAAAGCAACAGGTGCAAACTAGATAGGATGAGTGGATCTGCTAATCTGGCTCAGAATATATCCATTTTTACTGCAATAATATTAAATCACACTTTATGAAAACCCACTCCAAAATTCCAGGGACTTTCCACCTGGGTACACATCCCAAGGGAAACTCCATCAGAGCACTGGTTCTCAAACTTCGCTTCCCATCGGGAATGCCTGGGAAGTTTTAAAAATATAATACCTAGGTCCCACCCCCAAGAATAGTGATTCTCAACTGGGCGATCTGCCCCATCTCCCAAGAAACACTTGCCTTTTAGTTGGTACAACTGGGGAAGGGTGCTACTGGCATCTAGTGGGTAGAGCCCAGAGATGCTGCTAAACAACCCACAATGCACAGGACAGCCTCCCAAAGCAAAAAATTATCTGGTCCTGATGTCTACATTGCCAAGATTGAGAAAACCTGTCCAAAATTTCAACTCTCAGCATGGCTTGAGCCTGGGCATGGGAGTTTTAAAACCTTCCCAGGTAATTCTACTATGCAGCAAAATTTGAGAACCACTGCTAGAGACCTGTTGGTAGAGGATATTCAAATATGTAGCTAAATTCCTTTCAACCATGTGCCATTGGGCTTGAACTTAAAATTTTCCATTTCTTCTCATTTGCTTTGTAGTTAGTTTGGGAGTTGGGGATGGTTGGAAGGAGGAAGAGTTAGTTGCTTTTATGAGAAAGCCTACATTTCCCACAATGTGCTAGAATAGACAGCTCTACAAATGCAAGTTTTGCTGCTTATTTATTCACCTTAGGAGTTGGCCTTCCTGGTACAGTTCAGGAGGATCATTAACCACAGTCAAACAAACACATCCTGTGGGACAGGTCACTTGGAGTTACATATGGGAGAAGCTCCTCCTTTGCAAGTAAACACTCCCTGATGTGTGGGAAAGTGACAGCCTCCCCCTTTACAGGGCCCCAGGCAGGGTCACTGCAAACAAAACTCCAGGGGGTACCATTCACACAGAACACAATGTGAATCATGCTTCCTTGCTCTGTGGCCTCAAAAGTAAATTTTGAACTTGCCAGAATAACTAGACTTTTAAATCAGTCCCTTTTAAATATTTTTGCCACATGAAAATATCCAACTAGCTCTACATATTTACTCTGACATTTATATTATCTCAGATAATGCAAAGGAAAATATATTTACATGCATACAATATATGTGTACTTATATATGCTATTTAAAAATTTTAATGCAAATGTTGTCATATTATATACACCAATTTACAACTTGCTTTTTTCATTTAACCTTCTCTGTTATACTCACTTGACATGTCCAGACATACAGATATGTTATTCCATTAAACAGCTT